TCCTGCCCGGTCGCTTAGCTGGACTGTCCATAGATTTCGCGGCACCTCGACCCCTCCCTTTGGGCTTTACATACACATCCTGGATACCTCGGTCTTTCTTTTTTGGTCCTCTTTTTTTTGGTCCATCAGGAACAGGTTTAAACATGACTTCCTCTTCACCTCCAGAATCATTTTCAGAATCACTACAATTAGATACAATGAACAATTAGGTTCCTTCTATTACATTTTCGCCCATGAGATATTGAATTTTATTAACTTGATAAAACTGAGATCTTTCACACTGACAAATATCAAAGGTCATACCTGTCAAAGGCTTATATCAAAAGTGATACCTGTTACAGAGTGAGACAAGAGGCCCATGGGCCTTAACGGTCACCTGATATATTTATACAGAGAGTTGATTTGGTTTTTAACATGAACAGAAATATTATTCAAAGTGACAAAAAACAATAAAACCACCTTGTTCAATATCTAGCATACTGATTTAAGACTAAAAAGTATTTGAAACTAGCACCTCTGATTCTAAACAAGGAAAATGAAGAAATATAAGCACACTAACTCTTTTGGGCCCCAAAGTATCAAACTGTCAACTCAGGGTTATAATTCCAATCAAGTTATTAACATGTAATATTCAAAGTATCATTTGCCATTATAAACCATAATAAATTTTGCTCCCCCCCCCCTCCTTCCCCAGGGGGTAAACATGAGACCCTAGGGTCATAAACCTTAAGACCTTTCCATCTATGAAGAGGGGTTGATTCTACCATATCTGGGTCTTTGAGAACAAGATTTTTGAAATTTCAGTCAATTCAACCCTTTTTGGCCCCACCCATCAGCCCCGGGGGGTAAGTCGGGGCTGATATGTACAGACCATCAAACTGCTATCCAATACTGATAATGCTAACCCAAATTGAATTACTTCCAATGGAAATTAAACAAATGTTGGTCCAAAATGTGATTTCCCTATATAAACTAAAGTAAAGTTTACCCCCCTCCCCAGGGGGAAACGTTGAGACCCCAGGGTCATAAAATTCACAATTTTGGTAGAGCACCTTAAGACCCTTCCATCTATGAAGAGTGTTTGATTCTACCAATCTGGGTCTTGAGAAGAAGATTTTTGAAATTTCAGTCAATTAGACCCTTTTTGGCCCCGCCCCTCAGGCCCCTGGGGGCTGGGTCCAAACCGGCCCCTATTTTCGTTGACCTTTGGCCATGGAAGGTTTCTGCAAAATTTTATTGAAATTGGTTCAGGGGTTTTGGAGAAGAAGTTGAAAATGTAAATTGTTTACGGATGCACGACGCTGGACAAAAGGCAATCGCAATAGGTCACGAGACTTTGTCTCAGGTGACCTAAAAATGTCACATTTGATACTGACCAGTAAGAAAAGCTAGTTTGATAACGGACAGATGACGGACACTGTAGACAAAAGCATTCAACAATTTTAAAGTATAATACATGACGAAAAGCAACATCTTTTAATACACAACACTTGTAATTTTATCAACGTTCAACACTCAATTTTTGCAAACAATCAACAATATAAATGACTTGCTAATATGTGTCACAAATAAGTTAAGCATCAAAACAATCTATAATTAATATTTAACAATGTTTCATTACAAAGTACATCAGAACAAGCCTAAATTTTCTATATGTATCGACTCTGTGAAGGTGTTAATTAAATTCGACTGACCTCATGGTCTGGACTTGTGTGGAAGAAGCCTTCTTCCTCTTAGGTTCTCTGGGACAGACGGGCAGTCGGTTGACCACAGGGCCGGGACTCTCTACAATGATCTCCTGGGCACTTGGACCTTTGGGACCCGATACCGGAGCTTTCCGCTACAACAGTGCATACACAAACATCAACAAGCAGTCCTGCTAATCACTGTCAACGAGTCTTGAAACAAGTAACCTTCAATTTACACTAATAAAATGGTTTTAGGATTAAAACAACCCTTTTCCCTCCTGTACATTCTGATCCAAGAAAAAACACTTCTCAAATGGTCCCCATAAAGCTGTTACTATTAGAAAGAGGTCACAGAGAAACTTTTTAGTGACAGACTACCCAATTATATTTTTCCCTTAACCAACTATTCAAATGATTTTAAGACCGACCCCCCCCCCCTCCAAATTATTCACCTTCTATGATATTTACTCCAATCTCATATGAAATGAAAACTTAATCCAAGAAACATGTATGTAATCACTGGACTTGTACCTACCTTGGGACCATCAATTACAAATTCTTTAGGTAGATAGCTCTTTGTGTTGCTGTAGCTCTGTTTTAAAAAACAACAAAAGTATATATCAATGGGATATTTTGATTTATGGTTTTGAAATAATTTGTCCAATATTGGAACAATAAAGGGCTATTGCTTGCAATACCCAAGAGGAAACCATATCATCAAAACTTGCATATGATGAAATTATTTTATTTTTGGTTTTTGTCGTTACAAGTTGGAAACATGAACTCATATATAAGCACTGCTTTTACTCTATTCTGAATGAGCATTATGTAGTTTCTTAAACATTGCTGTCATATGTTAGAAGTACATGGTAGTGCCATCTCTTTTCCATTTTTATGTATTAAACCACATGTTGACAGTGTTACTCTACCTGGGCAGACCCTTACCTTATCTGGGCGAGTGAAGAGTTTGGCAGGTAACACAGGCTCAACGGTGGAATCCTTAAGTGTTATATTAGAGGGCTTACTGTTGAGTATCCCCAGCGCCACATCACACACACTGTACAGTTTCTGAAGCAAACACGGACATGTGTCATATATCTTATACACAGGAATGACTACAGTGTTCATGCAAATATTTGGTACAAAATATGAAGCACATTCAATGAATCACTTAAAATGTCCAACCCCAAAATAGTAAGACTTAACCACCATTTTCCCCTGTGGTTTTGCACTATTGCTTGTTTCATATCAATTATGAATTCTTATCATATTTACTCTGTTCATATTCTCATCTTCGGGAGCTTCTGCGTCTTTGGTCTGTTTGATATTCTCTAACATTCGCCTGAAGAAGTTGTAGTTGTAATCCTCACTCTTGTTGATCAAAGGTTCCATTATAAATGACAAGCACCTGTAAAAATGTTTAATAATTACGGATGCTTGAATTTATTAACAAGACAAACTACATGCCATCTGATCATTTCTTTTGGAAACACTATAGCTTAGATTTGGGTAATATTTCTTTAGGAAACATTATCACTTAGATTTGGGTAATATTTCTTTAGGAAACATTATCACTTAGATTTTGGTAATATTTCTTTAGGAAACATTATCACTTAGATTTTGTTAATATTTCTTTTAAAACATTATCACATAGATTTTGGTAATATTTCTTTTGAAAACATTATCACATAGATTTTGGTAATATTTCTTTTGGAAACATTATCACTTAGATTTTGGTCATATTTCTTTTGGAAACACTATAACTTAGATTTGGGTAATATTTCTTTTGAAAACATTATCACTTAGATTTTGGTCATATTTCTTTTGGAAACATTATCACTTAGATTTGGGTAATTTTCGAAGTACTTTGTTACATCTGTACTGCAAATACCGTTATACACCTACCCAAGATGTTAATTCCAATATTGTTTTCCCTTAATTGAATATATATTGTTTGTTAGAAAGCTAATACTTACTCTTTGATATTCTTTAGTGCGGAGACATGGTCGTGTGCAGAAAGATCTGGGTCATGTGCAAGCAGATGTATGACATACGGTATCACATAATCTGGCATGAAGTGGAACATCCGCCCCTTTATGGCAGGAGTCTGTTTCAGGTACTCTCGCCGTTTGTTGATGTTCTGCTGATAGAATAACTTGACCTGAGCCCGTCGTTCCCGTAATGGGTCGTTGGCTGCCAGACAGAATATGCTCATGTACTCTAATGGTAACCTCAAGCTCAGCAATCCTTTGTGGAGTTTCAGTGCAAAGTTCAGACGAACATGGTAACAACTATCCTATAATGAAAGAAAATGACAGCATTTTAGTATATTTTTTTTTAGAAGAACACTCATGGCCATCTTCGCTTCGTATACACTCCACTTACCCTTGGCGGATATAGCCGTGTTTTCACAATTCCCACCACTGCCACCGAGCGGATATACCAAGTTATTGTTCTTCTCCCAATAAACTTTTAACCAATCAGAATGACCATAACATACACACTCCATCGGCGTGTTGACATAAACACGCGTATGTCGAGGCGGGGTATATATGACAGAGCAATATGGAAACAATCTAAAGGCAGAACACATATTTTCCCAGGTCATTATTTACATGTGGCACGTAGTCAAAGATTTCCACCAACTGATTTAACACTCCGGAAGTTTCCCAAAAGATTGTGCGCCTGTATTTTGGGGGCAAAACACTCTTGACATAAATGACAACGTGCTTCCGTACAGGGCGTCGCCATTAATGTTTCCCTTTGTCAACAGCGCTATATGTAAGAAGCGATTTCATTGGATGCAAGCGATTGGCACCGCACGAAGATTTGAAAGCCAGGTAAACACGGCTATATCTGAACACTTGGCTAGCGAAGATGACTCATGGCAAACAAATCATATAACTTTAAATAGCGAGTAATATACAGCAAGAGCAACTAGTAAGTACTTCTTTTAGACACAAGTTAGCACAATATCTATCATACTGTTCTCCCCCCAAAAATAACTAAAATCCCACAGGAAACAAATGTTAACTTACATTCATGAGAAGGGCCAGGGTCTGAAACTGTTCCTGAGATATGAGCTCTGAGTAGCAACGGTCCTCCGCTAACTTGAGCATGCAACATCCTGCCTGCAATCTCAATCTAGCTAGCTCTGGCTTGTTGACTCTGCCTCTCTCCATAAGGTCACCTTCATGTTTGATGACGGTGAACAGGAGCCGTAGTGTAGACGTACCAGAGTTGTTGGCATTGCTTTTTATTCCCTGTAACCAGCGTACTAAAAGCTTCATAGCTTGGACCTTGGCCATGGTTTCTTCAGAGACATGATGCTCCGAGTACCAACTCTCCACACTGTCTGCCCCCACTGTTTGATCCTGCATAAGCAGCTCCTTAACAATAAACTTTGAGACAATGTTCTTCATCTCAGCCGAGAACTCCTCAGGACAGTACAGGGCAATGTGACCAAGAGCAACAATAGACGTCAGGTAATTGGCACTATCTGGGTTCAGGGATTTCTTCAAATGCTGCAAAATATGTAAAACTTTGTTTTCAACAAATCGTTAGGTAGTTAGGACTCAATAAAGAATTAAAGCAAAAGGGTACATTATACTTTGATCAGTATTCATAATGATGTAGCTACCTAGGTGTAATATGGTAAGGGTGACATTAATATGATTGACTCATTATTAAGGAATTATCATTAAGAATACCAGGTTTTTCTTATGCAGGACGTTTAGTCATGTTATTAAGTTACCTATGTCAAGCTATGTACTATGTTAATGTAAGGAAAAAATGTTGTAATACAAATGGCAATTTACAACACTGCACTCCTAAGGATAGACAATGACCTTTGACCTCTCTGTATTACATGTTGCTTGATTAGCAGGCATCCTGAAGTGTAACACAGCTATGGAGTTATAACTCAAAGGAGGATCAAACTAGAGCAATTTGACTTTGTCTCGACTAAACAGGGAACCCAAGGGCAACACAGCTATGTGAGTTTCAACACTACAACCTCAAGGAGAACAGCAGAAGGAAATTGATCAACCCATCCAAATTCAATATATCAATCAACCCATCCAAATTCAATATATCAATCAACCCATCCAAATTCAATATATTAATCATTTATACATGGATTTCACATGAAAGTCAAAGTTGGGCTTTGTCTTTGTATATAATGGATGCCGACAAAGTTTCTTGCTAATCAAATTATTCTATGGAAACAAAATGATGATCATATTTATGAAGTTATTATGTGGAGGTTTTAACAGCATATTTGTAAAGAATCCATTACTTGTTGCAGTCTTTTTCAACAGTGGAGTAGTTTAAACTACTGATGCTACCTATGTAGCATCAGTAGTTTAACTGAAAAATAGCAATGTTTCTGCAACTAATTTTCTATTTGGAGCATGACAATCCTAAATATGCAGCGCAGCACTGATATGCAAGTCACTTCTTTCAGGTACATTTTCTGTGGGAGGGCATTTTTTTTTTAACAAAACAAATCTTGTTTCCCCAGAATTTAAGTAGCATAAAAATTGCAATCAAATTTACCTCAAATATCTGTCCAAATATGAGCTCCTTATTTTTACACACAATATTGATACAGCGAAGAGCATGCTTGCTCTGTTTGGGATTGCCCAGCTTGGCTGTACTCTGTAGGATGGGCAGCAAACTCCTGTAAAACAGAACAAAATTTTACACAATGACCTGCTTAATTACAATATCATATATAGTAACCATGGTTACACATACAATATATTTGTTTACTTGCTAATGTCTTATTAAATAGCAACATCAGAACCATAAGCTCACACCTGTAAGAAAACTTCACCAGCCTATTTAGTTACTTTTTACAAACATTTGGAAACAGTAGGTCAAGTCTTTCACCACTGATCTGCAGGGGGATTTGCTTATTAACACACCTTCGAATGTTTTGGGAATTATTTAGTTTTTACAAAATGAGTAATAAGCCAAACCAATACTCTACTTTTAAAAACTATAGGATGAATATCATTAATTTAGGCATCTAAGTTTTGCAAAAATTTTGAACATGTGTGATCTATGACCTTTTTGTTGATTTGTTGTGGAATTCCTCCTATGCAAACCAAAGATCAAATATAACCAGACCTTATACAGCTGCAGATGTCAAGATTCTTTTTGATGCATCAAAAGTAAGTCAGAGAAATCCTTTTAACCCTTAGGCTGCTACATTGATTCTATGTAAAGGGACGCCACTGCTGAATTAATTATTGAAATTTAAATTAATTTACTTGATTTTTGTGAAATGTGCATAACTTGGAAAATATTTGTTATATGTGAATAAAAGTTGTATGAAAATTGTTCGTTGTATGAAAATTGTTCGTTATTGTCTCTAGTTTATATGAACGTTTTCAATTCTAAAGTTGCTTCAGTATTTACCTGCACAGGTGGTTATAAAGGTAAGAAAATGTGAAACTTTTAATTAATCGGATTTAAGCAAGAGGAAGATCATTTTAAAATTATTTCGTTCGCAAATGTGATTGGCAAATGATAACAGAGATTATAAACTTCATTTTTGACGTATATTTACATGGAGATTCTCAGGTAAAAAGGTCAGGTATTTCGTCAAGAATTGCATGTGATTTGCTACAGGATTCAGGTCGCCATTCAATACATTTACTGTCACAGTCGGCATATAGATATATCTTAGCTACGGTCTAGTTTATGATTAAATCACTGATAAAAAGTTCGAAGAAATAAATCGGCTCAAAACGTATCAATGTCAATGTTCAATTCGGCTTCACCTGCAGACGACAGGTGCGCCTCGGTCCGCCGATATTTTCCTGTTTGCGTAGGGCACAAATCCGTTTATTGGAAAGTTACATATTATGTTACACCTAAGTATTTCCACATCAACCATGCCAAACCCTTCAAAACCTTTGTTATCATCGTAGGTGACGATGGAGAATAAATGTTTACCATCATATTCATCGCTTCAATCTACACGTTTGCCATTTTTATGACTTTTTTTTCAATTTATGAATATCGAAAGTAATGACAAAACAACCAATCAGAAGCCTTCTACTATACAGGTTCGGGTTTGGTATAGCAACAACCCGACTTCACACTTCCTGGCTACCGATCAAAACCTACAGACCGAGAAACGACATATGTCATGTGTAGCACTGACGGCACGACTTTTCAAAACAACATATGTCGCGCGTAGCAGCCTAAGGGTTAAAAAAAGTTCCTTATTATATAGAGGAATGCATAACACTGTCATTTTGTGTCAAGTGATTTAACTTGTGTTACTTACGAGTATATAACGGGCAGTTCTGCCTGAAGCTTTTTACCAGTGTTGATGAAGATCTGTAGGGTCAAATCAGCTACAATGAAAGATACATAAATGTATGAAAAACATTTGCTTATGTAATGACTGTAGATATTCAACTTTTAGGAGAAACATACATCAAAGTTTGTCAGTGACTGATTATTCTGATTGATTTAAAAGAAAACTCAATTATTTCTGATATGAAGTTAATTTTTTCTGCTTACTGGATTCGAATTTAAAAAACTTTTGAACCTTAAAATGGAATCATTTACTAAAACCATCCCTCTCTGAAAAGAATTATGTAAACCAAACCAATACAATTATAAGTCTGTTTAAATATAAATGAGAGTCAAACATTGATGGATTTATCAGTATCTTGTTCGAACCCACTTACAGACAGCTTCATCCTCATGTTTAAGGAAAGTCAGTAGTTCTTGATACGTCTCCTCATCCTTGAAGTAATGCGGGTATACAGCAGACAATGCCTGGAAATCAAATCAAAAATACTTATGTCGCATGATCAATTTCCAGAGTAATCAAAACAGTTTGAATGCTAAACACAGATCTTCAACTACAGATGTTAGGTAATGAATGATGGTATTTATCTTTCTGAAAACTTCAAAAACTTACTGAGAGGAGTCGAACTCCTTTTTCTGCTGCATCATCAATTCCTTCAGTAATGATGCCGAGGCCACGAACTGTCTCGTCGACATGTTTGACCAGCATATTGATTGAACTGGTGTCAATCATGACTGGGGCTACCCTCTCTAACAGCAGTTTGACTGTGTTATAGAACTGGTTCTGCTGGCCAGGGGCAGGGCTCCCTAGTTTCTTCAGAACCTCACGCTAAAACAAGTTGCAGATATATTAATAAGACAGCAGCAATGACAGATTTTCTAAAAATAGAACTGATAATTTGGCTTGGGCACCCTGAATCACAAACTTGTTTGATGCATTCTGGAACCTTAAATTTGATCAAAATCCATTCAGAAATAAAGTCCTTAAAATCTACATGAGGATCAACTTACTCAAGTTAAAGATTAATCACATTTTTGTAATTTTGTTCACATAATAGCTAATTTTTTTTAGAATTCTTAAATCCCTGCAGTTAACAGGTCTGTATATATATACTATAATGAAATATAAATTTCTACTTACCACGAGTTCCTGAGCTCGTTTACATGTACACTCCTCACCGACGAGAAGCTTCAGGTACTGCCTCATCCTCTTATCTTCCTTCAGCATCTGACATAGCTTCTTCAGGTGATCAGAGGACTTTCCAGACTCGGGCAGAGTACCTAACAATTAATACAGAAGATAGTCAGCGCTGATACTAGCTTTTGAAGGTCTTCTTTTTTGTACTAGTATTCCAATTGGCATGCTAATTCAACCCTTTACTATTCTCGCTAGGTTACTAGCGACTGTAATATTATAAAACAAAATTTGAAGATAAATTTTGACATTTCAGAGCAAAGAAGACCTTAGCATCTATTTGACCTAACCTTCTACATGATGCTAAAACAATGTCCGTGATCTCAAGTGTATCGAAGTCATACACTTACGTGCAAGAGCGGCTATTTTGGGTTTAAATGATAAAGTATTTCCTTGTGTTGACTGCTCAAAAACTTCAACCAGCTGCTGGACCAGGTTCTTTACACTGACAACAAAAATACACTTCATTATCATAAGGAACTATTCCATTAATTCATAAATATATTTTTATCAAGGCCAAAGAAAATTGATTACTTGGTTCTCAGGCCCGTGCGCATTTCATTTTAGGGCACCGCATTGCCGATTTTATTGTGAAAGTCTTTATAAAAAAATCCGGAAAATTGGTCTGCATGTTGTTTTTACTTGTTAGTCACCAAAGTCCCGAAAACGTTTGAATAAAGATAAGGATTGATATACAGGCAAGCGTTAAAATGATTATGACTTATTAGTCTTATCTACAAATGGCACTCATTTCGGTACAAATAAGGAATGGGGAGGGGAGGGGGGGGTTCGTGATTCTCGTCTGGAACATCGTGGAGGGATTTTCGGAGGCTTGCTCTATGACGGGTCTCTACACAACTATAAAAAGACAAGGTAATGCCCAAAATGAACATTTTACAAACTACTCAATAAAAAAAATCGCCCGTCTCGTTTTTGCCTTGTAAAATATATTTTTTTATATATATTAGGGCACCGCATCTCTTTTGAAAAATAATGGCCTGAGAACCAAGTAATTAATTTTATTTGGCCTAAGTAACCCTTGAATAATGGCTGTAGGATATGCAAATGCTAAGTTTAGATCCATAAAATGTTATCTTATTTTTAAGTTCTGTATCAAAATGTGATTTTACAGGTTAATGCACCGATTCTGAATATTTAAAGGGATTTTTACTATTAAAGGTTAAGACTCGTTAATAACTAGAGATATGTCAGAATGACATGAAAGTTACCCCATCATTCTGTATGACCATTTTCCGATAAATCATTGACCAAGCTACAACGATATTTCCACCTGTCAATCAAAATGGTAAACATTGACCAGGTGTAAATACATACACGCTCTTCAGGTAGCCATGCCAACACATGGAATTAATAAGAAAGCATGTCGCAAATATAACGTTGGCATTGACCGACACCTCTTATACGGGGGATCTGCGCGCTGACACAGTCACCTGGCATGGGCAGAACAGATAATTGGAATACAACGATGTTGTTTCACAACAATAAGTTTCAGAAAAGATTCAATCTTATGTATGGATAAATCTTTTTGTTGTTATGAAATACACTTGATCAAAGTAGTTTTCTGATCGTCTGCAAATCCGACTGAATCGGTCATCTATATCGACAGAGTGTGTACGCTTAAAGGCAGTCACTCAAACAGGTCCGATGAGGACTTCCAACAGCCGAATTCGCGAGACATGAAGACCACCAAACAATTGTGATTTCTCCTTTGAAAAGAAAAGACCGGAATGTATTAGGCTGTTTTGAACCTGTTCATATTTATTTTTCAAATTCAAACTTTTATCATTATCGGTTCATTCCTGACGGTTAATAGTATCATGCGACCTTGACTCTTTGCAGTACACAAACTTGCTAACTTCTCCAACTTTACCCATGTCGTTTTGACACATTCCTCCTGTCAAGATTGAAGAGTTTAGCATGATTTTACCCAAGAACGACATTTTAACACCAGAGTGCTAAATGCGGTGCAATTCTGTTATGTGGTATTTATCAATTCACAACGTAATGTCCTGAAAAGTTGGGCCTACTTTACTCAAGTTTATTTATATGATTCTATCGTATAATATGACTTAACTTGCAACTTTTTGTAATTGTTAAAATGGCAATGCAATCAGGGGTTATTCAACAAAATTTAGCAGTTTATTGCTGCAAGCATATTTCAAAACATTTCTGAAAATCCTCGAAAAATTTACGATAAATGGCCGCGACCAAGGACTGGTTTGGGATTGTTCTCGAGTATCGTGTACACCCCTTTCTTGACACTTCATTTTTCCTTAACAAGGTGCACAATATATGCAAATATAAACGTTATTCGTTGGTCAGCCATGAATCATCTAAATCAATCAATAGCAATTTATAACACGACAGTTTACCCCTTCAGGAACCTCAAAGGTGCCCGATTCATACTCGGAACATCTTTAGGTTGTATGTAATTACCATATGAAATTTTGATTTAGGTTTTATGCCAATCCTGTTTAAAAAGGAAATTGATTTTGGAGTTATTCAAGAGCTTGTAATTAGCGCCTGGTATATTCTGACAGAAACACACACTTTACAGCCCAAGACAACAGAGGTCAAAATCTGGGACTGAAACTGAAATTAATAGTCCCCAGGGGTGACTAAAATTGGGTGTTTTAACAAAGTTCAAATTTTGACTCTCTATTAAAGGTTGTTTCATGATCCTTGGGCCTGGTTTCAAATTTCACTTCTGTTTCACCATTTTCATGTTTGAGAAGATTTCTAGGACAACCTACTAATCATACTTAAATTAATATTTCACTAGTATACACTATCAATATTACAGAAAGACTTGTATCAATATTTTTATCCTATTCTGAGTAAGAACTTACCTATTCTTGTGTTTCAGCATCTCATTAAATGCTCTACAAAACAAATCATATAGTTAATTGGACAAGAGCTTTTAATATGTCATTAACAAAATATTCCGATTCAAAGAAATTGTGTCAGCTTTCTATCTGTAAATGAAATTGAGCCTAGTAGGCATTGATATTACCTAAATTGAATGATTTTTGACAGTTAAATTTATTTAAGTAACACAAAGATTACTTGGAAATGTTTAATCAAATATTGTCATGATCATTAACAGTAAGAAGTTTTTATTGTCACATGATAGTAATATTTTCAATAAAAAAATCTTCAATATCCATCCCCCCTTACCAGCTATCCTTTGAGGATTTTTTTTATACCTCACATGAAATGTATCACAAATAATGAATATCTTTAATTCATCTAAATAGCAAAATATTTGGGAATGTTTACAAAGTCAACCTACTTTACAGCGTGGTCATCAAGAGTACAGTAGAGAAGCAGGAGACGTCTCATCTTCTCATCCACAGGCGAGTTATAGGGCACCAGGCAGGTATTAAACACCCTCTCTACCAGCAATCTAAAACAAAACAAGGATCAGGTCATGCTGTTTGCTACAAAACACAAACATTTCTTGCCAACTCAATCTGTTTTCACAACCTTACAATAATTACTATTCTGATATATAAATCAGCATCAGATTGTTAACTTGAATGCAACGAATGAGCCTTTATGTATGCATTTATCATAGTAGGGTTTTTCTTAAAGGGGCTGGTCGGTGAAAAAATGGCATTTTTGCTAAAATGGCATACACATGTTTAAAATACCTTCTTATGAAATACACCAATTCAAATTTTTCTCAAATTCACTCCCTAAGAGTAAAAATTATAATTATAATAAAGAAATCCTAAATCGTCACCTGACAATCTAAAACTCTCAATTGACCCAGATCAGTGATGTAATTTTGCCGCACGCGCATCATCAACAAGGCTAAATGTAAACATCGCGGCGAAAGAAAAAGATGCATGCAAAAGTCATGACAGGCACGAGGTATCAATACCGTTATATATAACAACAACATATACAATGTAGGTAGGAATACTACACTTGCATCAAACATGACCTTTGAAAACAAATATTTAATTATAGTATTGCTGTCTTGGTCGCTAGTTGAGTCCGACATGGCACATGACGGCGTGCTTTTGTTGTTATCTTCACAGCCTCACTTTTGAAACAACCATGTGACATATATAAATAGATCTGCGCTAAATTTACGCGGGGCTTCCCCGAGATTTCAGTGGTCAAAACTGGACATTGCAAGCAGAACTTGACCATCATATTGCCGTGGTAGAACTTTTGGAAGGCCAGAGAACGCATTTAGACCCATTTATTTTGTAATTGTTTCCCCGACCAGCCCCTTTCAAGAACAGGAAGCAAAATGTCACTCTTTTTCTAAAACATTGTATTTATAAATTTACAAAAATTACCTGTTAAAAATGCAATTTGGTCTGATCTTATACATGTTACCGAAAGGGCCTAATTAGGTGTGGTTTCACTTTGATCCTTTGTTTCAAGTTTTTAACTAACTGTAATATAAGAGTCCAGATACATTCATATATTAAAGCTGAAGTCCTTGTGGAATAAACCAAATTTGACATTTATTCCGTTTTTGTTGTCCACTTAAAGCCTGGAAGGAGGGGATCAGACTAATACTCCACCTATCCTATAATAATGCTTCACTGCAAGTTAGTAAAATATTTCTAAATTTCTTGTAAGAAATTAACTTTGGGGAATAGACTCATGCGTTGTACACACAGCTACAACCTGTCATTCAATACATCCATCTACTAAGTTTCAAAAAGAAACATGTAGTTGTCCGAGGTTATTGACAAGAGGACATGGTGCTATCATGTCGTCCTCCTTGCCCCTCTCTCCTGGTAAAGAATTGATAATTATTTACACACCTGTCTTCATTGCTGTTCTGGTAGTAGGCATGGAAGACCTTGTCCTTCACCCAGCACACCTTATCTTGGTTGGCCTTGTCCACACGCTCAGAGAATGTATACTTCTTGTACAGCTGGCCAAGTCCCATCAGGGAGTCTCGTCTGATCTGGTACTGAAATAGGCAGTTTTGTTGCTGGTCAAGACTTCACTATACCATCATGAGTTAGAGCTAAGTTTATGACACCAAACAAAAGGGTGCTCAAATTTTGTAGGTTACTCCCAGCATTTAAGCACCAACTTGTGCTGGAATTACACTATTGGATAAAAAAACCACCAGACACGTCTCCCAAGACAAGACTAAATTTTCTGATGGTGAAGCTCAGAGGATATCATGGCATAAATTATCCGGGTTATGTGCAATGCCATGTATTCAGCAAAGTTCAGGAAATAAAAATATAAAACCAAATTAAAAAAATGAATAATGATATCTTCTGCAGACAATTAGATCCTATTAAATGCTGAAAAAATCACTTAATACAGGCTATTAAGAATGTCTCTAGAAACAGCATAATATGGTGAATACAAAGATAATTTTTATCATGAAACCATTTTTTTTCCAATGTACCTGGCACCACCTATTTCTTAACAGACCCATTCTACTCCATAGAACTCCAGGATACCAACCAATGTTTTTGGAAGGTAACCATTACATCTGAAGTAAAGTATTTCTCAGTTTTTCATCTCTCCTCCATAATAAATTCAGTGAAGACAAACATGGTTCAATAGCAATCACGAAAAGCATGAATGTTTATACACAACATACATTTCATGTTATATAGTAAGCGAATTTCTTAGCACTACAGTAAACATTAAGTGAACTATTGCCTATACCTTCTTGTCAAGTGTGCGCTCTTTAATGAATCCAATGAGTTCCTCAGTGATGCTGTTGAAGTCCTTCTTGGCTAAACCCAGTATGGTATTGACCACCTCCATCCGCACGGTCTCCTCAGGGTCATGCTGCCGAATCTTCAGCTGTTCCACAATGTCTTTGTATGTTTCCAGGTGGTTCAAGAGAAAATGCTGTGCATATGCCACACAGGTCTGGCGTACATGGATGCTGATGTCATTGAACCTATCGACAGAAAATATTACAAGGTTATAATACTAGATGTACATGGTGTCAAATAATCCTTAATATATCTGAATTCACATACTTTTTGCAAAAAATATACCTGGTAACTATCCATAATAAATCATATTTCACACAATTCTATTTAAACACACTTGATGATGTAAATAGGATGAGGAAGAAAACTGAATTGGGATTATTTATAAATCAGTTTCTTACAAATTTAACCCTTAAGAAGGCACCAGAGCTACCACATGTTTTTCTATGTATGGTATGGCAGTCTTGTCTATGTGCAAAAAGCTTAAACACACACTTGTTCAGTAAAAAAGTTGCATACAATTTACCACAAACAAAGGCACTACAGATAAGACATTGACTTTGAATGCAAAAACTTAAACATGAATTAAATCAAAATATCCTTGTACTAAAAATCTGTATCTAGTTTCAGGTAAAAATATGACATCAATGTAAAGATTTTTCTGTTTCTAGTAAAGGAGACATTGAACTTTGGTGCTCACAAAAACTTTTCCAGCTATTTTGGCACTTATAACTCCCTTTGAAAGATGTCTCTGTGGCAAACTGATGTGGTCAACACTTCATGCAGGTAGCAGAGGCATTAAAATAGTGAAATTAAGACTTACCTTCCAAGAAAACAATTCCAAAGTGGTCTGTTTTGTTCTGCAAGATTTGATCCTTGGTCAGAAAACATTTTGGCCAGTAACTTTGTAACAGCCTTTCTCTCAGATTCCTCATTACTCTGAAGAGGAAACCATGTTGGAATGAATTCAAGACATACATCGTAGGAGTGTCATGATGAAGTGTATTTATACATTGCAATTCAGAAAGACTGTATAGCAATAAACATCACCATTTTCTCTCTCTCTCTCTCTCTAAAAATAGTGCTTAATTTCAAAAGAAAAGAATGTGTTGTCAAAATGTTGACAAACTGAATCATAGATTGTCGTACAGATTTGAGTTTTTTTTATTTTACTGATTACTATTATAAAATTTGAACAGATTCCACCACTAGTAATAGACTATTTGTAAAGACTTTCAACAAGCCCTCGTTTTTAAATCTGCCAGCAGTTTAATACCCCAAATATGAAACTGTTAATATTATTATTACCATGCAACTTCATTTTCTAACTATTAAAACATTGTATCAACACAGAATATTAGTATTCATACATTTCAGATTTGCATCTTATTGATTGTCATACAGAAGAAAACTTGACCTCCTTTCTCCACCAGTTATACCTTGAGTTTGAACTCGAGCTGTGGGAGAACAGCAAGCAACACGCTGGGGGAGATGTGATTCAGCTCATAGATCAGTTCATACAGTCTGTCAGACACCTCACTTTCTGACATCTTACCAAGCATCAGTGCATTGTTGAAGAACTGAAATATATAATTATACATTTTTAAAACATATTTTTTTTCTTCATAAATTGTTACAAATATTTCACACCATCATTTTGTTTTTTACACCAAACTTTGATTTAATGGACTCTATGTATGCTCTCTTCTAAAATTATGCATTTACCAAGAAAGAGATAAAATCGCAATGTTTAAATGCCACATTTACCAAGAAAGAGATAAAATCGCAATGTTTAAATGCCACATTTACCAAGAAAGGGATAAAATCGCAATGTTTAAATGCCACATTTACCAAGAAAGGGATAAAATCGCAATGTTTAAATGCCACATTTACCAAGAAAGGGATAAAATCGCAATGTTTAAATGCCACATTTACCAAGAAAGGGATAAAATCGCAATGTTTAAATGCCACATTTACCAAGAAAGGGATAAAATCGCAATGTTTAAATGCCACATTTACCAAGAAAGGGATAAAATCGCAATGTTTAAATGCCACATTTACCAAGAAAGGGATAAAATCGCAATGTTTAAATGCCACATTTACCAAGAAAGGGATAAAATCGCAATGTTTAAATGCCACATTTACCAAGAAAGGGATAAAATCGCAATGTTTAAATGCCACATTTACCAAGAAAGGGATAAAATCGCAATGTTTAAATGCCACATTAACCAGGAAAGGGATAAAATCGCAATGTTTAAATGCAACATTTACCAAGAAAGGGCTAAAATCGCAATGTTTAAATGCAACATTTAAGCAAAAATAAAAATGCAAAAATTTAAGAAAACAATTTATCCAAAAAGTTTGTTTAAAAATACTTTACAATGATTTAATTTTGCCTATCTCCCCCATAATATTTTTTTAGGTATATATCTTATATACCTAAAAAGAAAACAACTGATGACGGAACAACTTTTTACACTTCAGAATGCAAAATTACAACGCAGCTTTTTTTTAGTGCAATTGTTTAGTTTACGTAAAAATTAAATAAATCTTTTAATATTAAATTATAAAGATACCAAAGAAAATAGTGTATTTTTTTGGATAAAACCGCTTTGCGGATTTTATGCAAAGTGCACATTTTTTTCCCGGTATATACCAAAACAAAATCTTGGTAATTCCTTAAATAACTTACTGCCTGTATGTACGGCTCAATGGCATTACTGGTCCTGATCAGCAAATCACGAGCCATGTTGTATGCAACACGATTTTGGGTCTGAAAAAGACAAAGATCATGTAACTAGCCTTGAACACAATCAATATTTTTGAAATTATCTTGCATATTAACAAAACAGCTGACTTCTTAGTTATAATGTGCTAAAACCACATAATCAAAGCGAAAGTTGAAATTATTCTTACAACCGAGACGTAATAAACTATATAAATAGGATTAGCTGTCGGCCACCGAGTATATTTTTCATTCAGTTTCTCTCATCATGATGCATGCACATCAAAATTTTAACATCATAACCTATATCAACAAACTATTAAAATGCTTAAGAAATGAAGAAAATTATGGGTTCTTTTATACTTAAATTACCAGGTTGTGTCGCTCAAATTTAATCAATTTGTCTAGGTAACACCTAACTATTTACTCTCAAGTTGACATCCTAACATGACAAAGTAATGGCAAATAATTTTCTGTTTTCCCATGGTAGTGCTAAGCAGCAACCTCACACGAAGGAAAATTAGATTTCCAGAGGATGAACATTACCTTATATGGTTCTATGATATTAAGGAGGATAATATCCAGTAGCTCCTGCGACACCGCATCAGCTTCTGTGATCAGTGGTGTCATCATATCCAGCACAAAGTTCTTTACCTTGCTAGAGTGTTTGTCACTGTTAAAGAGATACAAATTCATTGCTTATAGCAGCAATACGGAAAGTACCAACAGTTCAGAGTGAACACAGCAAAACAAATATTTATCAGGGGTACATTCGCGGATCCGGTTGAACCTGTAAAGAAAATGTCAGGTACAGATCTGAACCGAGGCTGACCTCAGGATTATTCGGCACGTGTAGATTGAGGGGTCCAGACATACCTTGCTGGAAAAAACTAAAATGCTGACTATTACCAGTTTGCTTTATTTCTTTCTTTAACAATGTCAAGCCACATGTAGTATTTAAGATATGTAATTCAGTGGACGCATGAGAGAAGGGCATAATATTCTTGATACATTGTTTTATATTCTCCGAAACTGCATTTTTAGCTCTGCTTATAGAGCGGTCCAAGTGTGTTCATTTATCGTGGAAAATAACTGCGGCACACGTACCGTTTCAACCGGGATACGCGAATGTAGCCATAATATTCTATCATATTCCTTGTGGTAAATAAACATCATTAATATACATGTTTTGACTTACTTCATAATTGAAAACATCAACTGGAAGAGGTTGCAAAATACTTCCTGGTTGTCATCCAACTCAATGCAGATATTGAAGGATTTGACCCATGCTAGGTTCTGGAAGAAAAAAATATATTACTACAAACTAACAAGTGAACTATTGACTGTCAATTCAAACTATCCATTCTGTTATCCTTACTGACAAATAAATATAAGCTAATATGTTCAAAACACAAATTTTCTTGGAGATAATTCTACAATATTTAATTTTGAACAGATCGTCGCTCTTTGTGTACATTTACACATAGTTTTGCATCGTAAGTGCCAGGAAAAAAAGTCATATCAAAACGCAATACTTCCTTAATAATTGAGTATAGAATGTTGCACAACATTTAACCCTTAGGCTGCTACATTGATTTCTATATAAAGGGACACCACTGCTGAATTAATTGTTGATTTTTTTTGTTATATGTGAACAAAAGTTGTATGAAAATTGTTCGTTGTTGTCTCTAGTTTATATCAATGTTTTCAATTCTAAAGTTGCTTCAGTATTTACCTGTACAGGTGGTAATAAAGGTAAAAACTTTCAATTAATCGGATTTAAGCAAGAGAAAGATCATTTTAAAATTATTTTTGTCCGCAAATGTGATTGGCAAATGATAACATAGATTATAACTTCATTTTTGACATAAGACGCTGTACATTTACACGGAGAGTTACATATTATGTTACACCGAAGTATTTCCACATCAACCATGTCAAACCCTTCAAAACCTTTATTATCATCGTAGGTGACGCTGGAGAGTAAATGTTTACCATCATATTCATCACTACAATCTACACGTCCGCCATTTTTATGGGTTTTTTTTTCAATTTGAAATTCTCTCGCACACCTTTGGTCATTACTAGGGTACACTGCCGGGAATATCGAAAGTAATGACAAAACAACCAATCAAAAGCCTTTTACTATACGTGTTCGGTATAGTTACAACCCGACTTCACACTTCCTGGCTACCGATCAAAACCTACAAAGCTGTGCGTAGCACTGATGACCCGGCTTTTCAAAACGGCATATGCCGTGCTTAGCAGCCTAAGGGTTAATGTGTCTAGCAATAGATACAGTCACAGAGAATGATCTACTTCAACACTTACCTCTAGTAAATAGAAGTATCTTTTGAATGTTGGAGAATCGGGATCTTCCAGTCCTCTCAGTTGTTTTATAAAAAACATGAAAATTTCCTGAAAATAGAAAGCAAATATGCAATGAAGCTATTTGCCATAATAGCTTAGAAATAAGGAATACCATGTCTGTTATTGGTGAAAACACAATTGGGACAGTTTTACTATTGTGGTAAACTGCTTGGAGTACTTAATCAATTCCCATGTATATTATCATTCATCACAAGTATTTATTAATGTACCGTCACAAATATCAGTAGTTAAAGCCTTAGCAATTGCATGTGTCCTATTCTACAAATCAATGAGGTAGAAATAATCTACTCATATCCCGACATATTTTTGACCGATTATCCATGAAGGTTACGGGCCAGTAACATGACCTTATCCCTCTGTTTAACACATTCGACCAATATGAAATCAAATGTGGGTAAAGTTCAATTATTCAAAAAGTCAATTATGCTTCTGCTTCAAATTGTTGATTTGATAATTTAAAAAGTGAAAAATCTGCCAAAAAGAAGGTCTAGTAAAATATAACACATTCTGTATCAATCATGGTTCTGTATCATATATTAGTTACATTCGTATTGGCTGAAATATGTACGCTTTATGTATGAGGATTAAATAGGTACGTAACTTTCTCTTATACCTTCCACAATCAACTTTTTATTTACCTTCAAAAGCGAGGAGTCTCTAAATGGAGCTTCTGGAGCAAATATCCTAAAGACGTCTGCAATACAGCAAGCGACAAGCAATCGTACATCTTTGCTCTGGTGATCCATGTAAAAGTCTGTGGCTAGACTTACTGCCAATCCAGAAAACTCTTCAATGTTGTCATCCTGGCCCATGTCCTGGAACGCCCGGGCCAGCAACTGCACAAAAATGTTTATGCACGGTTAAAGGCAATAAATTGTAATTCCCAGTTTTCAATCAATATCCTGTTAAGTCAGTATAAAACAGTCAATAGGCTGCACATGCAAAGGCCATATTTAAACTAATAGTTCTTTTTCAGAAGGTTATCAATAAATTGAACAAGATTCAAATACAACATTTTAAAAGTTTTCAACGAAATATATGAGATTTTAATTGAAGTTGACATCATCATTGAATTTTGTTCTTTCTTCATCTCCTAGGAAAACATACCACATTAAGTAAATATCAAGGATGTGATATACCCCCAAGAGGATATGCAATTAAAAAACAAACTTTGGACTTACCTTAAGCCTTCGAACCAGCTCATCTTTCCCCAACTCATCTGAAAGGTCTTTGCATCCCGCAGGATACACAATCTTATTACTTCCTTTTGCTACTACACTCATCTTGGCATTTTACCTACAAACATTGAAGAAACAGACTTTTTAAAAACATGTATACGTAGCAGTTTCTGGGGAACTTACAAAACTAGAACTGTAAAACAAAAGACTTAACAAAGACCCAGTGGGTTTTTTCCCCTAAATTAAACAACAACCTGTTTCTTTATGAATTGGGAAAATATAGCATTATATTTATTTAAATTGGGAATATACTCCTTTATTTATTTTTGTCATTTTGGGAAAATATGGCACTTTTCAGAAGGGGGAAAGAAGCCCTTATTCGGCTGTGAAACTAAACCAAAAAAATTCACTGATAATGCACACTCGCAGCAACCCCCCCCGCCCCCTCCCCCAAAAAACCCAACCCCACAACAGTTTGACTAAGTTATTTTTTTACTGGAGGGTCCTAAGGGCTTTTGATTGACCCTTGAGAGAGTAAGTTTTACTAATAATAAGCTTGACCCTTGGTTTTAAAGTGATCCATGTTTGGACTCTCCAATATTCATAGAAAATTCTAATCGCTTTTGATATAACCAAATAAAAAGGTTCAACAGAAAGCCCTGATCTCGCAGTAAATAAAGCAAGAGTACACAATTTCTGCTTTAGCCAGTAACCACACGGCTGTAGCAAGCCCATTGTTAGCACACTGAATTTATATCATCAAATTGATGCAGTGCTTTTGGAATAGATTAGAAGTGCAAGCAACGGTTTTTGAAAGAAGGGGCATAACTCCATATTATTAAGGGAGGTAACTCAATTCTTTATTTACATCTCATATTAATTTAAATATTATGTGTATGAAGTATCATTCAAATCAGTGTAGTACTTTGGGAGTAGTGAAAACAATATTTTTCAAGCAAAGGGGCACAACTCCATAAATTGGCAAGTGACTTTCTTCTTTTGTAATAGGAGTGGAGAAATACACAACCAGACTTGGGTTCAAACTGGAGCACTCTGAACTTCAGACAGACGCTCTACCAATTCAGCTACCTAGTCACCAGCAATAGATCTAGTCCAGTTTGGCTATATTCCTACCTCCATTTTCTAAGTCTTTGCAAAACAAAGACATTATTATTTACAACCCAGGTTTGGGAATCCCCTTGACAAGTGCACACCCAATGTAAGGGTGGGTCTTAGGCACCAACATAAGAGGGAAAAGAAAAAAGATGCAAGGCCAGACTGCAATATAACACAGACCCTCTGTGCTCTAGAAGAACACTCTTTCAAATTCAAATTGATTTACATTTTATTCATATACATACAAACACTTTCCATTCACACAATGCATTCTATTAAAGAAAATATCATGCACAGACATGTGTCATTAAAAACAATTTAACACATAGACTGCTTCTTTGCAATAATGGCCGAATGAGGTATTTCTAGACATTCAGAAAATGTGTACAATAAATTTGGAGGTCCTGGGTTCGAATCAATGTCTGGCTCGTTGCATTTTTCCTGTCTTTATATTAGGCCTATATATACATTTGTATATATTTTTTCTGGTCAATAAACACCTGTAGAGGTAGAAATAAATATCAAGTTCATAGTCTAGGCTTAACGGAATGAGAGATGGTAGCGCGGGCTAGAAACGCAGTGCATTGGTCGGACATAAACTTAGGTATTACTCGACACAAGCATTATGACTGATGGCTTAGTTTTTGTTTTTGATTAAGAATGTCATCGAAGAATCATCGCATTCAAATGACAAATTCGATGTTATACTTAATAACTGACATGACTGCACACATTTATATCGAAGTTACTAAGGACAAATATCGTTTTTCACTCCCTGCGGAATCTTTGTTTTTCAGCGGCCATTTTGTTTTGATCCACAGCTTTGTGAAAACAGTGAGTCTGTTATGATTTTACGAAGCGGTGCAATGATGGATTAGACAGCGATTAATACAAACTACACATGTTATCGTCAACATGAATAATCAAATACCTACATGTAGATTATACTTTACTTTCACGATGTCCTTAACCGCAGGAAAAAACAACTTCTTCGGCGCAAAGGATATGAAACGGCGCCAAACCATCCACCATTGAGCAACTCAAATACACGTTAGTAAGCGTGCATTTGATTGGTCAAGAAATTATAGAAACTAAAACTCTAAATCATAATGTCGTAAACTGGATTTTGTTAGAGATGGACGCTATTATTATGCCATAAGATAAACTTGAAATATATCCTTTATCTTGGACGTACTTTTCATACTTTTGGTAAACTACAACGAAAAATATAATATTTACAATATCCAATGAAATTGTCGGTTCCAGAAAGTTGCGGGAACCTTGGGATGCGTAGTATGACGTGCGCAAAGTCTAGAACGTAAACACAAGTCATGTGTCCAGGCCGATATATAGATCTGAGGTTCAATATAGATTCTTAATTGTGTAACCTGATTCAAATTATTTTAAATGTACGTTTTTTTTAATACACGAACTTTCATTTGTTCATCATCATGCCTAAAAATAAGAGACAAAGTCCTACAAAACATGTTCATCAAAAGGAAAGTAAGAGCTCCGGAAAGGATACAATTTTCCAGTCTGTCCAGGAGATGTTTGAGGGACGGTTTGAAGCAGAGATAATCCATATGGTGCTAGAGGAATGTAACTGGAATGGTGGGTTAAATAAAAATAAGAAACTAAATAAATATACTAAATTGATCTTTCTCTGGTTTCTATGTTGATATTGGCCCGTTCTAAAAACTTATGTAACTAACAAAACTCACAGGGTTTTGTTACACAGATACACAGTTGACAATGATTGATAGATTTTTCACAGGGGCATGTAACCATCTTTAGGTCATAGGATACATATATTCTATATATATATATATATATATATGTATATATGTAAGGCCTTTGCTGTGAAAGCTGTACGCTTAAATAATACACAATTTGGCATGTTGCCATATTGTATAGCGTATAATTATTAAGTTTAAATATGAGAACAAGTCTTCCCTAGATGAACACTTTTAATGGAAGTAGTGAAAAGAACTTATGAGCTTATATGTTGATATTATATTTCAAAAATTATATTACCATATTATCTACGATCATTTCCAAGCCTGGGTCCCTCCAAACTCTGACCAACATTCTACCAAATGAGCCACCTGGTCACAAACGATCAGCATTCCTCCCTCCGTTTTTTAAGTCTTTGCCCCGAAGACAACAGTACTTACAATCCAGGTTCAGGTATCCCTGTGCCAATAAGTATTCACCCAGTAGTCTATACTATATAATGTGTATGCTGTAAATATTGTAAATTTTATCATACATTGTATCTTGACCACATGTAAGATGAACTTCATGCTCAATATGAATATGTTTATATCAAGAATAAATAAAACCTTTATTACAATTATCATTTTTATTATTATGTAAGGGAGGGGATTCCCCTCTGAGTCAGGAATAGCTGAATTGGGAGTGATGCCAAAGGTTTTTGGATATTTCATTCTCCATCAAGAATTCATAGTTGTGATGGTGGAGCTTCAATAAACAGTAAATTATTAAAAAAAGTATGTATACCTCCAAAAACCAAAAAGAGTTGCAGAAGTCAAAATTTTGAGTGGAACGAACCAGAATTAATGTAGACTCATTTGAATCATCTTGTATTGCATACCAGTATCAATCTAATTGATAACAGAACTTTGCACCACCCACATTTATTGATGAGTGGAAGCACATATCAATAAATGAGGGCATGTAAAGATCAAAATTATAATTAGATTGGCATGATATTGTCTTAATGCAAGAAATATAACTTTCTGTAACAACTTTACTTGGTTGTAGTTGAAGAAGCAGTGGACAACCTATTTGCGATGTGTGAAACTGGGATGCAGCCAGACCCTGAAAGTAAAAACCGACTTGCACAGATTGCACATGACGTACTGTGTAGTGATGCGTCCAGTGACTCGATGTCAGTCAGTAGTCATTCAAGCATGGCATCGTCGGAGGAGACTAGCAGTTCTCGTAGTGGGATGGCCAAATCATCCACCAACAGTTCTAGGGAGAACATTCTTAATAGTACAGAAATAGAAGGAGCCATTGGTTTTGATCCAAGCATGATTGAAGTTGAAAGCTTAGATAAAAGTATGCCAGATGAAGATAAAAACATGGAAGTTCTCCAACAGTATTGTACTGATGCAGAGGCCTGGGTGTCATCCATGGATAAATTGGGTATGACTGTGAGAGAAAAGGGTTACAAGAACATGAGCCATACAACAGGTGATGTTCTACCATTACAGACAACAGGAGCTAATCTTGTCACTCCTCAAATACAGGAGGCTGATGTATCCAGCCCTCAGCTTGTTATGCAGGAATGTATACCTGATGTAGACTATTCAAAATATCAACACAATTCTTCTGTGAATGTTAATTCTAAGTTATATGCAGATTTAGATTATCCTTGTGAAGACCTAAGTGCTAGCAGACTAAGGCATTCTGATAGTGCAGTAGTTGACATGGTAGAATGTTTACCTGGTGAGAATAGGACCACCTGTGAATTGAACAAGGAAAATTTCCTTAACAGTCATAGCGGGTCTGGTAAGCTGACACACGACAGTGGCAACTGTCCAAAGGATACACTTCCCAGGATCAGTGATCATAGCACTCCAGTTTCTTCAACTGACATAATACAGGGAAATCAAGTCACAGCCACCGAAATGGAACAGAAAGATGTTCTTGTGTTTTCTGCAGCCACTTCAAACACACTGTGTATGCCATTTAATTTTGCAGACCAGAATCTTTTTTCTCCCGAAAAAAGGGAATATGCTGGTAGTGGAAATTTAGGTGTTTTTGGGAAAAGTGCACCAAGCTTGTGTAATGATGACAGTGCTGTGATGGAACCTGACTCCCCATTGTCACCAGTTTCAGTTTTTGAAAATTTAGGAAAGTTAGCAGGGGAGATAGCTCATATGGAATTGCATTCACAGTTAGAAACTCATACAAATTCAGACATTTTCAATAGTGATGACTATGGTAAGGATTTCTTTACAGGTTTAAAATCGAATTTGCAAAATTCTGATGCATTGGCAAATATGAATGTTAATACTGATGTACATAATGATAATAAATTATGTTTTAAAGATTTAATGAAATTGGAAAATGAAAGTGGTTCCATTGATGGTGGAAATACTGAATCTTTTGATAGCAAGAATAAACTTGACTTACAGACATTTGGTCAAGAGTTCTGCAGTACAGGGAGTAGGACCTCCTCCAATGAACCTGCAAATTGTTCGAGTAACAAAGAGCTTGATCAATATGCAGATAAACCAACTATGAAAGAAACTTCAAATTGTGAATATAATGCTACATATAATCTGAAACCAGCTTTGGAGAAAGATATGGATGATGTTTCTCCGGACCAGATTTATGATTCAGATGTTAATATTTCCGGCTCAAGTTCTGACAGCTTGAATGAGAGCTTAACTCGGGCTTTAAACGATAGCATTAACCTTACAGAATTGTCAGTAATTGATGACGATTATGTTGTAAGAAGCCAGAGCTGTATGAGTAGTCAGTCGGAGGAGGAGGTGGGGGAGGAGCTAACAACAGCTCTGAACAAATCTGTGGACGAAACAAGTCCTGGTGAAAAAAGTGACGTTGAAACTAATCAAGCTACATTAACTAAAACACCAAAAATGGTTCTTAGGCTCCATGACTCGGACAGTGATGAGAAATTAAGTGAATTTTGTGAACAAAGCAAAAAGGATATGCAAGCGGACAGTATGCCTGTTGGTGGAGGAGACTCCCAAACCAGCACAAGACCTGAAGGTATTGAGGTACCTGATTTAGCTTCTAATTTATCTGTTAATGCTTGTGAATTTGTTCCGAATGTTCGAAAAGAAGCCTCATCTTCATCTTCATTCAATATGAACATGAACAGTGACCCCTGCAAACCAGCACCAACATTTTTGACGCCGAAATATGTGTCTCCGACAAAAACCAACTTTAGGACCACATCCTCTAGTGACTGTAATTTGCGTTTCCCATTCTCATCTGTAACACAGCAGACACCACTTGCAACCTCTCTTCTTGGTACAGCTTGGGTCACACCTATTAGACAGCACAGCTCACCAGCTACAGGAAATGACCAGATTCCGTACAGTAAAGTAGAACATCCTCCCCCTAAGATCCCTCAGTACCCCCCGCCACATTGGCTACCCGCTACTCCTGTGGCCAAGTTTGGGGACCCAGTGAACGTGGTAACCAAGAAAAAGGGTCCCCCCACAAAGCTCACAGACATAGAGGAGGTGGAGGCCAAGATAAAAGCTGGACACAAATGTTTTGTGATGCTCCGAGGTCTACCAGGAAGTGGAAAATCTACATTAGCCAGGTATTTATTACTGACTAAAAACAAAGATGTAATCCTATACAGGGTTCACTTATTTATGAAAGCATTCTAGCCACATAACATGTAAGAGAATCATATTAATATATTATATACACATGTATATATATTGGGAGTTGTTTGCATAAATTTACAAAAACAATAGCCGTAGCCGATGTACAAATAAGAATTGTAGGTACTTGGTCGATAGCAATACCACATGTTAGTTGATTACGACGTTTCTATGTGACAGGAAGCTACAACACACAACTTCTAAACCAGGAGTTGTGCTGTCCTCAGATGACTACTTTATACAGAATGGTATCTACAGATTTGAGCCCCATCTGCTGTCTGAAGCTCACGAATGGAACAGACTCAGAAGTATGTCTTTGTTTCTCAAATAAGCCAGTGTCTGTATAGTAACCCATTGCTGTTTTATGATAACAATGTTTTTGAATTGTGATTATTTAAACTGTGGTTGATATTTTCAGCTATACAAAACCTACATAATGGCTGTACACCTGTAGTTGTGGACAATACTAACACGCAGGTGTGGGAGATGAAGCCCTACATAAAACAGGTAAATGGCAACTTCAGTTCATTGTTAGAAACAAGCTGGCAATGTGTAGCTATGCTCATTACAGAACTTGTTTCTCCTCGCTGTTACCTGGTAGTTGTGTCAGCCTTTTCTTTCATAAAATAATATCTTCCATGATTTATAAATACGCATGAGCTAAAAGCCACACCATTGAAAAATGCTGCTTTACTGATTTACAATCACAATAATAGCTGTAAAACACCATACAAGAAGGTGAATTTGATTATTTCAGGCACAAAAGTTTGGTTACGACATCAGCTTCCTTGAACCAGACACTCAATGGAAGTTTCAACCGAAAGAGCTTGCCAGGTTTGTAAATAATAGAATGAAATGATACATATTGTATATGATAGCCTTATATTTCATAGGTGTAAAATATTATATTTCATGAACCCATATAGTGATTTGCAGCATGTAGTAAGAATTCACTAAAGGGAGATGAACTACGAAATAAAACAGCTAAATATTGTAACTTAGTCTGAAGTTTCAGGATATTTTGTAATGTACATCTTCAAGCAAAGCATTTACCGTATAATAGGAGTAGAATCTTTTTTTTTCACCAAGAAATAATTAATCTAGATAGTTTAAAGAGCAATGGGAAATAAAGTTAAAAGGATATTGAGGTATTTATTCGTATGATTTAGGAGAAACACTCATGGCGTTCCCCTCAGTAAGATCCGAATGATGCTGGAGCGCTATGAGAAGGGTTTAACAGTGGAACAAGTTCTTGGTAAACCTCAAACACCAAATGGTCAACACAAGAAGTAAGTCTTTTTCATACTCACTTTAGTATCAATCTTATTCTCCCTAATTATTTTTCCACCATTGTCTTTGGTAGCTGATTAACTCTATCTGTCTTCGTCTGCTGTCAGAAACCCCCCCACTTTTCTCCAATATGAATACAGAAGCTTAATTAATTACCATTCAATTACTGCTTTGTTGCAAAATGTCATATTTCTTTATTTGTAATATGACGGAGCATCAACACTAAGGATTCTGCCTTAGCAGACTTTTTATCGCATTGACTGGTTTAGATACACTAGGCCTAATGTCATCAGAAAGGGAAACATTTTCAGAGTTATTTTTCAATATGGACAGGATGCTACTCTTCTGAACAAAATGGCTAAATGATCTATTAGCACGTGATCCGTGCCAATGTTTTTTTGTGTATGATCTGTAGTTGTTTCTAAATGGAATTTGAATGGGCCTGAAATGATATGGGAGTAGTCTGATTTACAGCTACTTTGAAAATCTGTATATTTCTACTCCTAAACTTGAAGTCCTATTGGCACAAGCTCATTAGCATATCAAACATTAGATCCTTGCAGAGGCACAAAGAGAGACATCTATGATCATAAGTATACACCACTCTAATGAAATTGAAGCCTATTGGTAGACATGAATATGAGAAATATGAACACAGACCTACACATGAAAAGAACTCTACATTTCATTTAATATCAATACTGGTTATCTGTGCTTATCTGAGTACTTAAACTACAACAGGGAATATTGCTTGTTTTGTAAGATGTCAATGCGTAGTTAATGATTTACTCAAAAGCTAATGCTGCTTATTCTGTGTTTAATTGATCATTTTAGCGACCAGAAGACTCTCCCTCGTCATGCCAAGGATAAAACAGTACACACACAGAGAACATATGTGAAAGCCCAGCCCGGGGGGATACAAGCTCACACAGGAAGCTCAGACATGAAAGCCCAGCCCGTATGGAGACAAGCTCACACCTCTTTGGTACAACAATATGCCAATAATCTTGGACAAGCCCAGAAACAGCATGCTCGGCAACCAAGTGTGTCCACCAATGCACTAAACACACCCACAAAGAGGGATGAAACTGTTACAGAAGAGAGTTGTAGTGAGAATCATCAAGTCCCTACACTGTCTGTTGTGCCCTCTCCTGTGTCTGGTGTGGTAGTTTGTAGTCAAACACAACAATCCACCACGCCGACTCCACTTACCAGTGGTAATGTGAACAATAGTAACATTTCTAAGGAAAATTGGCAAATGTGGAAAAAGTTAGGTCTCTCTGATTTAGTCAAACAGTTCAGCAAAAAAACGGAACAGGTCAGTTCAATTGCAGAAGAGACCAGTATGGACCTGAGTAGGTGTCTCCCTATGGACAACCAGATGGGAGAGAATCAATCTCCTTGTGAAAATACAGAGCAACAGAGAGAATTCCTTACAACCGTTTCTGAAACAGATAAGGTAGTCAACTCTCCCAGGGAGGACGAAACACAGGAAACTGTTCCTGTTGCATCAAAAACTGAGGATGCTAAGAAGTCCAGGTCACCAGGATCACATAAAGGCTGTGTGGATGGAAACACAAAGGACATGTCGCCCAGAAGCCAGAGTAGTCATTTAAGGGACAGCAGTCCTTCCTCTGACAGTACATTTCACACATGCTCCGAGATGTTGACAGACCAGGAGGGAAGCAGTTCGTCATTGCAGGAAGATCAAGCTGTCAACTCCCAGGATACATCATTAGACCTGTCAAACACATCATCAAGGAACGACGATGAGGGGTCAGACTGTGTCACAGATTCTCACAACACTGGAGTGGTAGATCAGGGGTCACACTGTGTCACAGATTCTCACAACACTGGAGTGGTCGATCAGGGGTCAGACTGTGTCACAGATTCTCACAACACTGGAGTGGTAGATCAGAGCCCTGTTGACAAAGCTTCAGAACCAGAGTACAAACAGGATACTGAACTGACATCAAACAACAAACCTGATTCTCCTGAATCCAATGCCCCTGAAAGTGATTTTGATTCTCAAAAGACACCTGAAGATGATTGTGATACTCAGAAAATATTGGAAAATAATTGTCATACTCAAAAGTCATACGTTGAAGATCCTGATGTTTCGGAAAATAATACTCATATAGCACTAAAAATTGGTCCTGATACCCACCAGACATCTGCAGATGACCTTGACACACATCAGAAATCTGCAGATGACCTTGACACACATCAGACATCTGCAGATGACCTTGACACTAATCAGACATCTGCAGATGACCTTTACACACATCAGACATCTGCAGATGACCTTGACACCAATCAGAGATCTGCAGATGACCTTGACACCAACCAGAAATCTGCAAATGACCTTGACACCAACCAGACATCTGCAGATGACCTTGACACACATCAGACATCTGCAGATGACCTTGACACCAACCAGAAATCTGCAAATGACCTTGACACCAACAAGACAACTGCAGATGACAAACATCAGACATCAGAGTCTTTGCCAGTAACCGTCGCTGAAGCATTAGACAAGACACAAGATATGCTGTTAGCAGAATACTCTAGTCAGTGTGATGCAGAACTACCAGATTTGGGAGCTAGTAGAGAAATGTTGACAGATGATATTACACAAGCAGAAAACATCCCCCTCGACTGTACAAGTGTAATACAGTCTCAAGGTGTCAAACCATGTTCTACCACACCAGAAGAACAAAATGTAAGCAAATTAGAGGATGACAGGTCTGTTAAAGTGGAGGAAGCCAGTGACGATGTGAATGGGAGCAGCAAAGACATTGCAGTCTTTGTCCAACAAACTGTGAAATATTCTCTAGATGATATTCCCAAGAACGTTAAAGACACAGTGGATGAACTTATTAGAGAAAATGTAGGGAGTGAATTAAATTACTCTGTAGATTACAGTGTTACAGCCAATGAACTTAAGGCCATTCTCCTCTTCACCGACCTGAATGATGAGGAGAAGATGATAGCTGAACAGTACATCAGCCAAAGGTTGTGTAGCAAAACATCAGAACTTTGTGCTCTGACTTCAGCACAAAAACAGTCAGACGATGGGATATCTCAACCACCAGCATTTGTCCAGGACGAATTGAGTGAACAAATTCAGGTTTATGATGATTTCAATAGAGCACAGAATTTGGAGTGGGAAGAACCCAAACCAGTTAGGAAACAGAGGTTTACCAAACGTCCAAAGCTGAAGTGTAAGCAAGGTTTATCTGAAGTGAAAACAGACATTGATAAATCCACAAAAGAATCATGTAAAGTTTCTGTGGAAGTTGAACTTGAAAATCAAAAAGTTTTAAAAACTGCAAGTACAATGGGGCAAGAAGACATAAATATACGTACACATCCTCAGCAGCAGAGGGAGAAACGTACACGTAATTACAGAACACATGCTAGTAGTCCACCAGTTGATGACAAAGATCAGGGAATATCTACAGAGAAGTCCAGGGCAGAACCTTTGGTTACATCAGTAGCTGCTCAGGCCCTATGTAAGGAAGTGGAAGATGGTGACGGTCAATCCTCTCAGTCGCAGTCAAATTCATCGCAAGAATCCTCACCAACAAAACCAGCTAAGAAGAAGTCAAATCGCAGGAAACTTGACCCATATAAACAGGGACCATTCTTGGAGCCTGAGGTTAAAAACAAAGTGATTGGTGCAGACTGGAGTTTCCCTGTACTGCCAGAAACTGCATTCAAAGAAGAGGTCCCAAAGAAGAAGAGAGTGCAGTGTTTGTTGGAACATGAGACCCACATTACAGCAGGAGATCTTAAGGTGCTGAATGCTGTTAACAGAGGGGAGGACCCAGCACATCTAATGGGAGGTAGAGCACGCTACAAAATCTTAGCCAGTCACAACAAGGACATTCATAGGGAAGTAACCGACTCTGACTTGTCGTCGGAGGCCAGCAGTATGATGGACAAATCTGTTGTGCCACAGCACTGTGTTGACCGGGGCACCATGACTGAGGAGAATATTGAAGTAGACATAGAATTCCTACAAAGTAGTTTCCCGGCCATCCCCGTAGACGAGCTGTCCGATGTTCTACATCAGTGTGGAAACAACCTCCAATGGGCTATTGACTTACTCTTAGACTGGAAATACAACCTTCCTCTCAGCTCTGATGACAAAGACAAGTTTATTAGCAGAATGTGTCAGCTCCAAAAATCACCTACTCTGCCAAAGTTTTCATTTTCTGCACGACCAAATTCGATCTCACGGTCACCCTCATCCTTACTAGACATGTGTGTGGGGTGTGTAGAGTCCCAGCACATCGCTCCCAGACAGGACATTGAGCACCAGATCATCATGAGCAGTCAACAGCGGCTCAATTCCATAGAGGAAAAAATCAGATTGAAGCAAACGTATTCACGAACATTAAGTCAGAGTATTTCTCGTGATGAGGAATTCAACGAGACAATTTTAAAGCAGTTGACATCCATGACAGAACAAGCCGTGGCAGATGGCACCAGTGATGCCGACGATGACAAAGGTGTGCCACAGAATCAGTTGGACACTTCCTATGTGGAGTCGTGGACAGTTAATCAAGCAAATGACTTCACAAGGGGGCCAAGCGTGGACAGTTCCATCAGCGGACACAGGTCTGATGAAGAGGCACTGGACTATCAAACATTGCAGAGCTCGGCATCTGTCATGTCTCTCCAACTTACAAGAGAGAAGATTCAAGCTCTAGAAAGCCAGTTTGGAAAAGTCCCACATTTAACAGGTATTGTAATATTTCTTCTCTGAATTAAATAAGTGGAAAAACCCATTTAAAATGCATTTACAAAGAATCCCAGAGGACCTGAGAAATTCTTTAGCTTTAACCAAAATTTAAAGAGTTTTGTGTTCATGAATGAATTTCTTTTAAAATTTGAAATAAAACGGACAGAAAGAAGACTTCAGGATATTAAGTAAGGTTTTGCAATAAACATGCCTGTAAATGTTTATTGCCTATGTATACAATATTAGCTGTTTTAGGGGTAAGTTGTACCATGTATAATACACTGTATAAACATAACAGTCCTTTGGTACATTCTAAGCAGGTGTATTTCTAATTTTCATACCATTTAGTCATACATGATTATGATATATTTTCTGTAATTTGATGATGAATATTTAAGGTTGTGTTTTAGGTGTAACAGGAGATGTAGTTGTCTCCCTTGACTATAGAACAGCTCAAGCTTTACACCAATGTTTGATGCTGACTGCCCGACAGCAGACTATGGACCGGCAGAAACAGCTGAGAGAAGGTATAGTAGCATTCAGTTATCACTAGATACCAGAAGTAGTTACTGGTTTAATACTTTAAATAGATTTAATGGTGTATGGCAAAGAACACTTTAGTATGCAAGGTTCTCTTTATCTTAGACCTGCTCTTAAATATGCCCTTAAATAACATGTTAATTAATTTGCTCCACAGTCATTTATAATTGATTGGCTGAATTTGAAGAAAGGCTTATTGTTTGAAGTTATTATCAATTTTGTTCGTGTCATCAAAAACTTGAAAGATAGTCTGATCTTCTGATCTGTTTTATCAGAGGTCAATCCCTAAAGACTAGGTACAAAGACATGAATATTTAAAATTCCACAGATGAGGCCTTTGCCCGTCGACTCCAGGATGAAGAGATACTTACAACAACAAGTCAGCCCCCACCAACATTCCAACGGCCTCCTGTGAGTCGTTCTCTGCCCCTGGGTGGGGCCCCTCAGCACAGGCCACACCCTACAGAGCAGGGGGTCACCTCCCTCAAAGACATCATGGTGGAGGAGATGGAGCGGGAGAGGAAAAAGGAAGAAGAGGTATGTAGAAACCTTTGTTGAAAGGATCAACTGAAATACTGAGGTGTGACTGACAAAATTGTAGGGGGTCTCATAAGGAAAAGATTGCAGATTTATCCATTTATGGAAGAGGTAATATAAAAAAATATCTGGTAGTTTAGACTTAGGGGCAAATAATTGATGCATGCATAAGGTAAGAGTAGGAAAAACGTTTAATAGTTAGTTTAGGCCAAACAAAATTAATTACTTGGTTCTTACTTCTTAGGCCAATGTTTTTTAAAGCAGGGAGGTAATTTTTTTTTTCATTTTTTTCATGGCAAAAAAGAGACAATGGAGATTTTTTGTTTATTGTGTAGTTTGTAAAATATTCATTGTGGGCATTACCTTGCCTTTTTATAGTTGTGTAGAGACCCGTCATAGAGCAAGCCTCCGAAAATCCCCCCACAATGTTCCAGACGAGAATCATGAACCCCCTCATTCCTTATTTGTACCGAAATGAGCGCCATTTGTACACAAGACTAATAAGTCATAATCATTTTAACGCTTGCCTGTATCTCAATCCTTATCTTTATTCAAACGTTTTCGTGACTTGGGTGACTTACGAGTAAAAACGACATGCAAACCAATTTTCCAGATTTTTTTAAAGACGGCGGCTGGCGCATTCATAATTTTTTACTTTCACAATAAAATCGGCCTAAAATGAAATGCACGTGGGCCTGAGAACCAAGTAATCTTTTTTTTTTGGCCTTACACTTGAAGTTAGTAATTGCTACATGTATATGGTAAGTGTGGGAACTACACACAAATTGATATATATTATATAATGTAAGCAAGAAAGAAAAAGTGTAAAAATGGTAATTTTGCATGTCCATGCTTTGGTCAAAGCATTCACCTTGTACATTTGTCTCAATGTGTTTCCATCCATTTGCATTTGTTTAGAAGGTTTTTCCTATTTCTGTTACTTATTAGTATATATATGGTAACATATTGGGAAGGCAGAGTGCTGCATACCAAAAGTAGGTCACTGTGACCTCTTACCTTAATAAAGAGAAATGTACTTTCTGAGTATTTTCCTCTGCGATTTCTGGTATTCTGGTAGGACTCAGTATGTGGTTACTTGCTGTATGATTAATAAATAAACTGTGATAACTGTTCTCAACAAAATGGATGATTAATGTTTGCAGTGACTGGGGTGTAGTCACGTTTATGGTTAATACCACCAACTTTATCATTTGTTGTGTATTGGATGTATGATGTACGCCCTGATTGTTTGTGTAGGACTCAGATGATGAGGACGACACATCAGATGAGGTAGAACCTTTCTGTTCTGTTGTTGAGATTGTTTCAACAGTTTTAGTAAGCACTGGTACTGTATATTCCACTGTTTTGAAATGTTTGAGTTTTGAGTTTGAAAACAAAATGACCAACCAATTTGTACATCATTTAATTACACAAACTGGTGAGTCATCTCAGGAAAAATCAAGAAAATTTGGATTGATGTTGAATGTAATTTGTTTAAAGCAACCAATAAAAGGTAGCCAAAGCATTGGCGTTATTTTCCACTTCACATTTCTATTGTTGACATGTAGGCCATAGACAGAGGATTTTATCAAATGTGACGATAATATTGAATTTGTTTGTATTTTCTGAAATGACTCATACAGTGTAATAAGGTGAGAATTTTGAAAATGGTTGAATATTATTTTGTTGATATCAAAAGCCAAGAAACCAAATCAAGTGGGATAAGTAGTTATCAGCTTGTTTTAACTGTAAGTTAATGTTGATGTTGGAGTCTACTGTTGATGTTATGATTTATGTTATAGTGATTTTACATGCTTCTTTAGTTAGTATTGGTTTGTTTGCATGACTCGCTCCATACCACTGACAGAATGCCCGGTATATCCCCCCCCCCCCCGGTATATTGTAAATGTACTTATATCGACAGATTAGTATGTTGATGTTGATGTTGATCAGTGGGCACACCCACAATATATTCAGTAAAAACAATATCCAGAAACTTCAGTTAGGGTACTCATAATTCAGTTGGTGTACTGTATTCAGGTCATTGTGACATTCAGGTCTGAGTTTAAATACAATGTATGCACATAGTTCAATTGGAATCTATTACACTGTAAATTTATACTATAGAAGATTTGTTCATGAAGCTTGAAAAATACCTACATTACAACAGAAGGAATGCTGTGCATGATGTTTAGATCACTCGGATATTCACTTCTAGGTCATTAAGGTCAAATAAGTGCAAATCAGATGTGCATATTGGCTGATAAAAAGGAGACATTTGTTTTTGTTCACCAAAACAAATCTAGTAGACATTGTGTATCACATGTGTATCTGATTTAAAAGTGAAGAGTAAAGGACATCATTGGTAGAGGGATTATACCATTGGATTGTAGTGGTAGAGGGATTATAGCATTGGATTGTTGTGGTAGAGGGATTATAACATTGGATTGTAGGGGTGGAGGGATTATAGCATTGGATTGTATTGGTAGAGGGATTATAACATTGGATTTTAGTGGTAGAGGGATTATAGCATTGGATTGTTGTGGTAGAGGGATTATAACATTGGATTGTAGTAGTAGAGGGATTATAGCATTGGATTGCAGTTGTAGAGGGATTATCGCATTGGATTGTAGTGGTAGAGGGATTATCGCATTGGATTTTAGTGGTAGAGGGATTATAGCATTGGATTGTAGTGGTAGAGAGATTATAGCATTGGATTGTAGTGGTAGAGGGATTATCGCATTGGATTTTAGTGGTAGAGGGATTATAGCATTGGATTGTTGTGGTAGAGGGGTTATAACATTGGATTGTAGTGGTAGAGGGATAATAACATTGGATTGTAGTGGTAGATGGATTATAACATTGGATTGTAGTGGTAGAGGGATTTTAGCATTGGTTTGTATTGGTAGAGGGATTATAACATTGGATTTTAGTGGTAGAGGGATTATAACATTGGATTTTAGTGGTAGAGGGATTATAGCATTGGATTGTAGTAGTAGAGGGATTGTAGCATTGGATTGTAGTGGTAGAGGGATTATAACATTGGATTTTAGTGGTAGAGGGATTATAACATTGGATTGTGGTGGTAGAGGGATTATAGCATTGGATTGTATTGGTAGAGGGATTATAGCATTGGATTGTAGTAGTAGAGGGATTATAGCATTGGAGTGTAGTGGTAGAGGGATTATAGCATTGGATTGTTGTGGTAGAGGGGTTATAACATTGGATTGTAGTGGTAGAGGGATAATAACATTGGATTGTAGTGGTAGATGGATTATAGCATTGGATTGTAGTAGTAGAGGGATTGTAGCATTGGATTGTAGTGGTAGAGGGATTATAACATTGGATTTTAGTGGTAGAGGGATTATAACATTGGATTTTAGTGGTAGAGGGATTATAACATTGGATTGTGGTGGTAGAGGGATTATAGCATTGGATTGTATTGGCAGAGGGATTATAACATTGGATTGTAGTGGTAGATGGATTATAGCATTGGATTGTAGTGGTAGAGGGGTTATAACATTGGATTGTAGTGGTAGAGGGATAATAACATTGGATTGTAGTGGTAGATGGATTATAGCATTGGATTGTAGTGGTAGAGGGATTATAACATTGGATTTTAGTGGTAGAGGGATTATAGCATTGGATTGTTGTGGTAGAGGGATTATAACATTGGTTTGTAGTGGTAGAGGGATTATAGCATTGGATTGTTGTGGTAGAGGGGTTATAACATTGGATTGTAGTGGTAGAGGGATTTTAGCATTGGTTTGTATTGGTAGAGGGATTATAACATTGGATTTTAGTGGTAGAGGGATTATAACATTGGATTGTAGCGGTAGAGGGATTATAACATTGGATTGTAGTGGTAGAGGGATTATAGCATTGGGATTTGTTCAGCTTTCATTTCTAAAAAAATAAATAAAAATACTCCCATATCTATCCCAGTCAATACTTCCATACTCTACTTATTATGCCCTGTCACCTGATTTAGGAGGCAGATTTTACTCTTTTTATGAAAGTCTATCATTAGAATACCTAGAATGCCTTTGTGTTTCAGAGTTTCACTGTCAAGGTCTTGCACTTGCTATTTTATAGAATTTTATCAAATGATTAATTGGCATGACTCAAGCATCTATATATTGCTTCAAGATTTTGATCAAACTTTATTCCAGTGTCAAGTGTGAGAATGGGTCCAGTTTCAGGGTACTTAAGTCACATTAAGCATCATTATTTATAGAAAGCTATCAACTAGGGTACTGTCATCATTCTAATAATAACTACATTTTGCAAAAGTCGTTTATGAAAAACTTAATGTTTCAAGTTGTCCAGTTACAGGTTACTGAACTGTACAGAAACAAGTAATATTAATCTGTTTTATATCAATACATGACAAAAGTTAACTAAATTGAATAATCAGACTTGTAATCTCAAAAAAATCTTCTTCTTATCTGCATTTACAAGTTCATCATCCATTGAAAGTCTTTTTCAGAGAAAAAAACAAACATTTTTTAACAGGTTAAATATCTGTACTTACAAAACTCAACTAATAAAATAACGTAGACATTTTCCAATTAAATCATTCTTTTATTAATACCTCAGCAAAAGCTGTTGGAGGCCAGTGGCAACCACAATGTGTTAGCCAACCGTCTGAAGAGGAAAAAATTATATGAGCAATTCCCAGGTATAGACGAGTCTCTTCTGGACGATATCTACAGGGATAACAGGTGAGAACTACTTAATGGTAGCGTTATTCTGCTGTTACTCTACAAGCACAAATAAGTTGTAACAAAAGGTATCCTCAAAATTATCCTTTAATTGTCTTTGGCTTTTAAATTCCTCAAAGAAAAGTAGTTCTTGATAGATGAAAGTACAAGAGTGGTTATAAAAAAGAAGTGCTTCTTTGCTAAAGGTGGTTCATTAAATGGCTGATTTCTTCAGACTGATAACATTACATTTGGTTAATTGATGTATTTTCAGCTACAACCTGGACAACACCATCTTAGCCATACGTGGCTTCTTGACTCATGACACAGCTCCTCCCAAAACTGTAAGAACTGCAGAGGCCAGTTTAGCATATGAAGAAAAACTTTTTGCAGCCGCAAAACAGCAGAGTCTCCAAGAAATGGTAAGGGGAGGTCACTCTGACCGGCTAGAAACAGTCCTAGGAAAGGCATGTTAAAAATTATTCCTTGAGAACTGTAGACAAGCACTGCCTGATCTGAGATCAGATTGATCTAGTTTTATTATGAGTCAGATTCAAGAGTTCCAAGCTTCTTTAGGTTAATGATACATTAGATATGTTAACTCATTCACCCCTGAAGACACATTTGAACTCTTCCAATTCAAAGATTAGAATAGTCCATTACGAACAGGGGTGAATGAGTTAAATCACAGAAAAAATAAACAAAATTGGTATGGTAGACAAACTTCAAATATAACTTATTTTTACCACTAGACAATTGAAACTGCAAAAAATATTTCTAATCCAGGAAAAAACAGCTTAATAATTTGGTTCTAGCACCACTGTTCTTCTAGAAGTTTGACCTAACCTCATATTTGTGCCCATTTCCTGTCCTAGATGGACTCGTACCTGTACAGTCCTGAGAAAACCAAGGCTTATCAAGAACATGAAGACCCAGACTATGATGACTTCCGAGCTGAAGCTAATATTCACCATCGCCTCAGACATGAATGTTTCCTGAAGGCACAGGAGGCGTACAGACGAGGCATGAGAGATGTTGCCTCCTTTTACTCGAGACAGGTATATATCAATATCACGACCTAAACTTAAATGGGTTGTATTCATCTGTATTAACACTGCATACAGATTACTGTATGTTTTACCTTTCTCAATAGAACAGATTGTTGGCCATCATTCAATGAGTATTCAGCAGGGCCACTTTCCTATACCGCGATCCAAATGGTTGGACCAGTTCCTAAGTGGAAACGGAAATATTTCTTAGTTTATGAAATAAGATCGCACCTAGTAATCTGATGCTGCTTTCAGGCAAGCCTTGACAAGCCTACAAGGTCTGCATAAACGTTTGCAGGTCCGCCAGGATTTACACTCAAAAATGTTACATTTACAAACAGACAAACCAGTTGTTCTGCATAAACGAACAGGCCCCAGATTTTCTTAAGCATGACTTGTTAAACTGTCAAAGGAAAACAGATGAAATGTTTGATATTCCTATGTGATTTCATCTGTTTTTGTGACCGTAATGTAGATGACATTTCAACACGTTTTTTAACAGTTGTAAATTATTTTTTTAAAAACACTGTCCAAGTTGTCCAAGGTGGAGTGTCTGGTGTTTTCTGTAATGAATTGATGAGAATTAGAGCTTGTAAAAGTCTATCCAATATCTTGTAATTTATATAAAAAAAAAAAAGCCAAATATGATAAGAGTGGAGACTGGTTTGTCCCCATTACAAAACATTAACTGATTCATAAAAGTAGTCAAGCAAAGAAAAGGTATTCATGTTAAATTCTTAAATTATAGTGGAAGTCTTTACTTTTGTTAGGGTCATGGCCACTCACAGAAAATCAAAGAGGCGAACCAAAGGGCAGCAGAGAAAATACTCCAAAGCAGGTAAGTCTGATTATTTCTCCATCCATTTACAAAATAGAACTTTACCTTTAGTCTGATATTGTATACATTTATAAATGTTTTGTACATATTAATTTATTGTTAATAGTGTCCTGAAAAAAATGCATTCTTCCTTTAATATGAACATAAATTGATTTTAGAGAAAGAACAAGAGTTCTGACAAAGCCCTCCCCGGACAAACTAGTTGGCATTTTGCATATGTTTAACTTAAGGAAGGGTCATGAACTCAGGTAGTGTTGTGATTGTACCACTATGTTCATAAATAACATAAAAAACCTGTTTTTTAAATCTTGCTACAGAAATATACTGAAGGAGAGATCTGCTGTAGATCTACATGGGCTACATGTGGACGAAGCCATTGAAGCCTTGGAAAGGATAATCCCAGAGAGGGAGGAAGGTAACAGCTATACTAACGCGATGACGGTGTCATCACCACCGGACCCTCCTCCTGTGTGAAATGATCACCTGTCTATAAAAACAATTTAATTTCAGCAAATTGAATCACTGATGTGCTATTTTTGTGCTCATAGTAGAAAATTTTAGTTCCCTCAATACATTAGTCATATTAGCTGTCATAAAACAGACCAAAATTGAAAGATATTGTATGTCAAATCATAGTTTCCACCTACTGTGAAAATATGATCCCCTCAAAACTGGATGTTGCGTAGATAAGACCATTAACTATTTTTTTATGAAGATCTACTGAATTGTTTTTACAGATTTAATGGCCTATCCTGACAAGAGGAAGCAACATCTAGTCATCATCACCGGTAGGGGGAGCCACAGTAAAGGGGGCATCGCTAGGATACGTCCAGCTGTCCTCAGGTTCCTCGTCACCAATGGATACAAGTAGGTCCTAACTCTCTCAATGTATCAATGATTTATCGTAGGTTATTGGTAATCTAGTGTTGGACTGGGAATGTATGGAGCCCTGCTGCATATTGTGACTGGGATCCTGTAACATTTACAAGTTCATTGTAGATTTCTCTACTTAATTTTCAGTATAGGGAAGTCATTAATGTAAAAGTTACCCAGATGATACCAGCGAAAAATATTTATGGATTTCTTTCCAAGAAAGAGGTTGAAGAATGGCTTAGCTTGAAAATGACCCCAATCTGAATATTTAATGTGGTCACTGTTAGTCCTCAATTCTTATTGGATGTCTTTTCTGGAAAATATCTTGTACGATTTGTGTGTTGGTTTTTATAATGTGACGTCGTGTACAAAAATGGGTGGAATCTGTGTCCTTAATTAGGTTGTAGTGTGTTCCTGTATTTGATGTATTCCTACATATTCTAGATATAGGTGATACTACGTAATCACCATCAGGAAGATTACATAGTTCCTTGGTTCAACTTCAGTGACAAGATTAAACTTTTGAAACAAATTATCTTGAATCATAAAAAAATATAGAATATTTCTTTGAATATCTTATCAACTTTTTTCTGTTTTATTTCCTTTAGATTCAGCGAAATTTACAAAGGATGCTTCAAAGTCCTTCTAAAATATAGATCCCACACAGGATATGATCTATAGAATCCTTCAAAATGGTGTTGACAGATTCAAGGGGAATACTAGCCTTTCTATTGTTCTGAGGATTCAGGAGAAATATTATGTAGCCTTTTAATTCCATGGCAGCTGTTGCTCCAGTTTTCAGATGAACACTTGCACCTTGCTGTATGGTTGACATGGACTGTGGGCCTCATCTTTGTACAAATGTATGGTGCCTGCTGAAAAGTTCCGAAAGGCAAACGATGATGAGTTGAATACAGGGTTACAACACACCAGCGTTAATCAAAGTTCTGTTATGTTATTATAAGGGTGCTATATTGAAAGAGTAGTGCTGTTTTATAAGGATGTATACGTGTTCCCACCGAAAAAAAATGATTTAAAATTGCAGCTATCCCCGACAAGTTAACTCGGTGATTGTAATCATTCTTTTATTGTATTTTTATTATTCAGCTTGTTTATAAATACTTCAGCCCAGAGAAGTGGAAAGAGCTTATGTTGAATCTATATTAGTTGTCTGATCATGTCCTGGTTTTAACAATTACCTTTAAAATCATGATTTTTTTAAATGCTCATTAAAACATTTTTTACAGATAAATAAGTTGATACTAGTTTTATATTTGCATAACAATCTCTTGACATAATTACTTGTATTTGTGAATTTTAATTATTGTACAGTTATGTTGTAAAGCCATTAGTTTAGATACATTGAACACTTTTGACATAAATATTATTTTCATTCATTATTTTCCATGTTTGGGATTTGAAGAATTTTGTTTTATTGACAAGGATGTTCATGCTAAAATATATACTGTGTATATTCTTGATACTCTATTGCATTTTGAATGTTTCAGAAATAATATTTAGTCCATCTGAATTCAACATGAAGTCCTTTATTGAAAGTGTTTTTAAGAATGTGATGGATTTCTATCAATAAAGTCCAAACAGATTTATCCCACAATGATTACAATAAATCCATGACTGAAGCTCAGTTGTTGATAAGAAGTTAACAAAGTTGAAGGTTTAACTGTTAGATTCTTTTTTTTATTTCAATTAATAAAAATAGCATCAATGAAGTAAGATTTGAAACTGTATTTTATTCACATAATTACTAATGACAAACTTTTAAATGCAGCTGATATTTTTAACCTGAAAATTTTGATGTGTTACTTTCAGGTTGTATATATTTATGTTCATCAGGTTTCTAAATTATCATTTCAGTGTGATATGTTTGTAATAGTTGTTTTCATCAGTCACCATGACAGGGTAGTTTTTAAAGTTTCCACAAGTCCTCATGACAGAGTAGATGGTTCACGTCATTATCATTATATTTTTACCAACTTTTGTATCTTATAGACTTGTTTTAAGTTACAAGCTGCATACCTTTAAATGATTGGCATCTAATTTTGTTAATATTTTTACAATATGTAATGAATTAAGATTTGTACTGGATTGGTCCATTTTTTTAAAACAATTTCATGTTAACTGTTTGTATCTTTTAACGTTTGCTCAACAATAAACTAATGTTAAAATTTGTTACGACCCTTTTTTCTGTCCAAATAAATGTAACCATTATTATGCACCTGCCAATTTTTTTGGCAGGATGTATTAAGGTATGGGAAGCATGCGTCCTTCCACACTCTGGTTTTCACAAGTATATAATATAATATCATATATCAAAGTTTTACTTTATACATGAACAATATACGTATTAAAAGTGTCGCAACGTTTCAAGACCCACTGGTCCCTTTGTCAAGCTATGACCCTTTACATATTTCCAAACTGATGAATCTTATTGAAGAATACTTGGATATCATTTTAATGAAACTTTGAAAGCATGTAAAATGTACAAAGACTTGGGCAGAGTTTTAAGATAAGTAAAATCTGAGAAGGCGCTCCAATTTGTCAACATCCACACTTTGTTTCCACAACATAACTAGCTTTCAGTTTTGATGAAATTTGGTAAAAATGTACAATATACAGAGACTAAGGCTAAGTTTGAAGTTCAGCAGAATTTATGCATAATTAAAATACTATCCTCTAACATGAACAAATTCTGATAAACTTGGTCAATATTAAGGTATAACAAGACAAACGCACATTTCAAGGCAAAGAAAATTTGTACATGGACAGGCATATGTAGTTCTGCCTCCGTGGTACTCGTTACCTCTTACTTCAGTAAAAAATGTTCATTATTTATCTGTTAACAAAGCGTTTTGAAATTGAGATATTCCATTTACACTGGTACATAATTGATACATATTGCATCATTGACTATGATGACAAGCCAATCCTACTGGAATCGACTGATAAAAGTGTATGCATTCTCCTTATAGCTATACCTATTTACACTGATGGGCTAGTAAAAAAAATTGTCTGAACAATAACATGTATACTAGAAATTGTTGGCTAACAATTTGACAGGCTTTTCACAGCAAGGACTGATTTGGCCTTCTAATAATAACTTGTGCAAGTCTACAGTAGCTGACTGAGTAGTGGGGGATTCCCAGAGTGCGAAATGACATCAGAGAAAGAATGGATATATAAAGGCAGCCAATGGGAGGTGTTGGTATACGAAGGTAGTCCGTAAAAGTCATATTGTCCTTCAACTATGTTCATCAGAATGATGAATTGAAACTAGCTTTTTGTCTATATCGATTCAGTTTGCCATGTCAAAGAAAGGCTGATGTTTACCCACTGCAGTAGAGATGTAAACTATCCCTACTTTCAAGATTGAGAGTGTGTAGTAATCGATGTAGTATTACCAGCGTGTATTAGATGTCTTAAATCAAAGTACTGAGAGTCTGAGAGCACTTCAAAATCGCACAAAAATGAAAACGGTGTTTGACTTACACCTTTGTAATTATATTTAGAGTAGGTCAAGGTCATTCATTTGCACACACTTTAAAGCCCTTCTTTCAAGCATGCTTCTTGCCAAACATTGTTACCCTGGAATAATTGGTTATTAGCTCACCTGGCCCGAAGGGCCAAGTGAGCTTATGCCGTGGTGCGGCGTCAATATTTTACTGTAAACAACTTCTTCTGAATAACCAAGAGGCCCAGGCTGATGATATTTGGCCAGTAGCATGCTGGAATGAAGGGCTACCAAGTTTGTTCAAATGAATGACCTTGACCCACTTTCAAGGTCACTGGGGTCAGATATGTTTAATTCTTTAAACAACTTCTTCTGAATAATCAAGAGGCCTAGGGTGATGATATTTGGCCAGTAACATGCTGGGATGAAGGTCTACCAATTTTGTTCAAATAAATTACCTTGACTTATTTTCAAGGTCACAGGGGTAAAATATGTAAAAACCTTTCAACGACTTCTTCTGAATAACCGAGAGGCCTAGGGTGATGATATTTGGCCAGTAACATGCTGGGATGATGGGCTACCAAGTTTGTTCAAACAAGAAGCCCAATGGTTCTTAATCGCTCACCTGGTATTAATCTCACACTTGTAATCTTAAAAGTGGACTAAAATAAGCTACAGGCAGAATATCAGTGTTTGATTCATAAGAACCTATTAAAAGATTTAAACATGACGCCTGTGACCTTGAATGTCGAACAAGGACATTAGGTTGAACAGAGTTAAGTCTTCCAACCCAGCTTGCTTTAGGCAAAATTTCATTACCCTGGATCTTTTGGTTATACAGAACAAGTCATTTAAACATATATTGACTACTGTGACCTTGAATATGGGCGAAGGTCATTCATTTTGACAAAATTGGTAGCCCTTCACCCCAGCCTGTTAATGACCAAATATCATCACCCTTGGCCTTATGCTAATTTAAAAGAAGTTGTTTAAATGTTTTAAACATATTTGACCCCTGTGTCCTTGAATATATGTAAAGGTCATTCATTTGAACAAACTTGGTACATGTAGCCCTTCATCCTGGCATGTTACTGGCCAAATATCATTATCCTAGGCTTCTTAGTTATTCAGAAGAAGTTGTTTAAAGGTTTGTTAACACAATTCACCCCTGTGACCTTGAAAATGGACGAAGGTCATTCATTTGAACAAACTTGGTAGCCCTTCATCACAGCATGCTACTGGCCAAATATCTTAACCCTAGGCCTCTTAATAATTCAGAAGAAGTTGTTTAAGGGTTTTTAACATATTTGACCCCTGTGACCTTGAATATAAGTAAAGGTCATTCATTTGAACAAAATTGGTAGCCCTTCATCACAGCATGCTACTGGCCAAATAGCATCATTCAGGCCTTTTGGTTATTGAGAAGTTGTAGTTTAAAGGTTTTTAACATATTTGACCCCTGTGACTTTGAATATAAGTCAAGGTCATTCATTTGAACAAAATTGGTAGCCCTTCATCACAGCAAGCTCCTGGCAAAATATCATCATCCTATGACTTGCGGTTATTGAGAATAAGTTGTTTAAATGTTTTAAACATATTTGACCCCTGTGACCTTGAAAATGGACGAAGGTCATTCATTTGAACAAACTTTGTAGCCCTTCATCACAGCAAGCTCCAGGCAAAATATCATCATCCTATGACTTGCGGTTATTGAGAATAAGTTGTTTAATTGATTTAAACATATTTGACCCCTCTGACCTTGAATATAAGTCAACGTCATTCATTTGAACAAACTTGGTAGCCCTTCATTCCAGCATGCTACTAGCCAAAAATCATCACTGTGTATTTTGGTTATTCAGAAGAAGTTGTTTAAACTTTTTAACATATTTGACCCCTGTGACCTTGAAAATAGGTGAAGGTCATTTATTTGAACAAACTTGGTAGCCCTTCATCTCAGTTTGCTTCTGGCCAAATATCAGTACGCTAAGCCTTTTGGTCATCCCATTGTGCTATTGGCCAAATATCATCACCCTAGGCCTTTTGGTTATTAAGAAGTTGTTTAAAGTAAAATATTGACGTCGAATGACGGACGCTGCACCATGGCATAAGCTCACTTGGCTCTTCGGGCCAGGTGAGCTAATAAATGACCTTGATTTATTAGCTGACCTGGTAAGAAGGACCAAGGTGAGCTTATGCCATGGTGCAGCGTCCGTCGAACGACGGACGCTGCACCATGGCATAAGCTCACTTGGCTCTTCGGGCCAGGTGAGCTAATAAATGACCTTGATTTATTAGCTGACCTGGTAAGAAGGACCAAGGTGAGCTTATGCCATACCGTGGCATCCAGCATCCGTCCATCCGTCGTCCGTACGTGAACAATTTCTTTAAACGACTTCTTCTTAACCACTGATTGGATTTAACAAAATTTGACTGGAAGCATCCCTAGATAGCAGTATACAGTAGAAATGGCCCGACTCTGATAAACAAGGCACATGTCAAGGAAATGTAAACACGGCAGATTTACCCTACACAACACATGTATACATGTATATATTTTTGTAAACTGCATTATATTTACAACACATATAAAGTACTGAGAAGTGTATAAACCTCTGTTTTCTATGTATGTCACTTGTGTGAAAACCATGGTTACCACATCAATAATTACCAAAAAATGCCAAAAATTGCTATTTTTGACCCATAATTCGACCCCCGCAACTAGTATTTTTTTTCCTTAGTTCTGTCTGAAATTTAAGATTACCTTCCTGGTTGCAGAATTATCTAAGTCCTAGTAAAGTTGTAAAACTTGATTTTTAGCTCACCTGGTCCGAAGGACCAAGGTGAGCTTATGCCATACTGCAGCGTCTGTCGTCCGTCGTCTGTCGTCCGTCGTCCGTCAACTTTACACTACTTGTTATGAACCACTGAACGGATTTTAACAAAATTTGGTGTGGAGCATCCTTGGGTGAAGAAGAACCAATTTTGTATAAATGGTGGGTCTGGCCTGAGGGGCGGGGCCCAATAGGGGAAATATAGCAAATTCTTCAAAATCCTTCTTCTTCTGTAGGAATGAAAGGATTTGTTCCATATTTGGTCTGAAGCATTCTTGGGTGAAGGGGAACCAATTTTGTATACACTGTGGATCTTGACTCCCAGGTGCCTGAGCCGTGGGGCCCAATAGGGGAAACATAGCAAATTATTCTTTAAAATCCTTCTTCTTCTGTAGGAATGAAAGGATTTGGTCCATATTTGGTGTGGAGCATCATTGGGTAGTGGGGAACCAATTTTGTATAAACGGTGGGTGTGGCCCCCCTGGGACCTGAGGGGTGGGGCCCAATAGGGGAAATAGACGTAAATCTTCAAAATCCTTCTTCTTCGGTAGGAATGGCAGGATTTTGTCCATATTTGGTCTGAAGCATTCTTGGGTGAAGGGGAACCAATTTTGTATAAACGGTGTGTCTGACCCCGCTGTAGGCAGAGAGGTGGGGCCCAATAGGGAAAATAGAGGTAAAACCTTTAAAATCCTTCTTCTACCATAGGGATTAAGGGATTTTATCCTAATTTAGTCTGGAGCATCCTTGGGCCAAGGGGACTCAATTTTGTATTAGCAGTAGGTGTGGTCTCCGAGGGGGGGAGAAGGGCGGGGCCCAATAGGAAAAATAGAGGTAAAACCTTTAAAATCCTTCTCCGACCATCGGGATTAAGGGATTTTATCCTTATTTAGTGTGGAGCATCCTTGGGTGACGGTGACTCAATTTTGTATAATTGGTGGGTATGACCCCCGTAGGGGCATAGGGGTGGGGCTCTGTTTGAAGTTTGTTCTCTATATCTTGAGTACTGGATGGATCTTTCTGAAATTTCATATGTACTAACAGCACCTACCATGGAGTGCTATATCTTTACTTCATACCAATTACTTTAATTATATTCAGGTGAGCGATACAGGCCCTCTGGGCCTCTTGTTTGCAATTTTGCATCGTGTGCTGTTGTCAAAATTTTACCTCCTGTAAAGCTAGCTTTTCATGTGTAGGCACCCTTTCGGATTATGGCCAAAATTTTGTTCTCAAACCAAAAAAATCTTTTTTTTTTACAAATGTGAAGCTCACATAGCCCACTTCATCATTTTGCTTATACATTGTACCAATTTTAGTAGTTTTATTTTTATAATTTTTTTACATATCATTATACAGGGGTTAGCCATTTAACAAAAATATCACCCATGGCCACAACCCTCTACTGTATACTGCTACCCTAGGTGGTGGGGATTCACAATTGTACAAATGGTGGGGATGAGGGGCGGGGCCAAAAGGGGGCAATTTGGCTATATTGCTACAAACGACTTTTTCTGTAGAATTAGCACTGGATATCAATCATACTTGATCAAAAGCATTCATGGGAGGCAGGAATTAAAACTGTACAAATGGTGAGGCTGACCTCTCAGGGGGCTGAGGGGCAGGGCAAAAAAGGGTTATTTTGCTAGACTGCTTAAAGCGACTTCTTCTCAAGAACTAAGTGATGGAAATCAACCATAGTTGATGTGAAGCATCCCTAGGTGGTTGAGATTAAAAATTGTACTAGTGGTGGGGCTGACCCCCCAGGGGATGAGGGGCGTGGCCAAAAGGGGGCAATTCGGCTATATTGCTACAAATGACTTCTTCTGTAGAACTGTGCACTGGATATCAATCAAATTTGATCAAAAGCATTCATGGCAATCAAAAAAAGTTTATTACTTGGAAATGGTTGAGAACCCCACCATATAACCATATATACAATTGCTGAGTATAAAGAGAAGAATGGACATTTGCTCCCAGGATGGCCCTAGGGTCTGGCCCCACCCTTGGAGACATAGTCACTGGGTCATAACTTTGAAATGGTTGAGTTCCCCACCCCAAAACTATATATACAAATGCTTGGCATAAAGAGACGAATGCAGTCATGATATTAGAATAGACCCTGGGATCTGACATAACCCCTAGGGACCTAGTTTCTTAGTCACAGCTTGGAAACAGTTGAGATCCCCACACTATAACCATATATACAATTGCTGAGTATAAATAGATGAATGCACATATGCTTCTAGGATGGCCTTGGGGACTGACCCACCCTTGGAGACTTTACCCCTTGGTCATACCTTTGAAATGGTTAAGATCCCCACCCTAAAACTATATACAATTGTTGGGCATAAAGAGACGAATTCAGTCATGATATTAGAATTGACCCCAGGGTCTGCCCCATCCTTGCAGACCTAACCCCTGGGTCATAACTTTGAAAGGGTTGAGATCCCCACCCCAAAACTATATATACAAATGCTGGGCAAAAAGAGACAAATGAAGACATGTTATTAGAAATGATCCTGGGTTCTGGCCACAACCCTAGGGACCTAGTTTCTGAGTCACAACTTGGAAACTGTTGAGATCCCCACCCCATAACATACATTAAATTGCTGGGCATGAAAAATCTAATACAGATATGCTACAAGGATTGGGGTCTGGCATATTCCCTTGGATCTCATTTGGAGAATATTTTGCCATGATTGCTTAGATATCCAGGTGAGCGATACAGGCCATGTGGGCCTCTTGTTCGTTAACGTCCTATGGCATGTTCATTAAATATAGCCAAATTGCCCCCTTTTGGACCAGCCCCTCAGCCCCCTGGGGGGTCAGCCCAACCATTTGTACAATTTTGAATCTCCTCTACCGAGGGATGCTTCAAGTCAAATATGGTTGATATCCATCTCTAAGTTCCAGAAAAGAAGTCGCTTAAATCAATATAACGCAATTGCCCTGCCCCTCAGGTCCCTGTGGGGCCAGACCCACGGTTTATACAAAATTGGTCCCCCCTTACCAAAGGATGCTTTAGACCAAATATGGAACAAATCCTTTCATTCCTTCAGAATAAGAAGGATTTTAAAGAATTTGCTATGTTTCACCTATTGGGCCCTGCCGCTCAGGCCCCTTAGAACTTTTATATATTTGAAAATGTATAATGAAAATAACTGTTACAGCTTTGTAATATTTGGTGCATTATTTCTTTGTATGTCCATATTTTTTAACATAATTTTAGTAACAAATATGTGCATTTTTTTGCCAATATTAAAACACTCATTCTATTGAAAAGAACCATTGTTTTTAAATTTCGACCTTTCATGTTTCAGCTTCATTTAAGATGTCTGACATGGGTGGCTTTATTTGAGTGACAGTTTTTACTATTTAAACTCCAAACAATGTTTTGAAATTTAGGTCAACAGAAAGCTAAAAGACGTGTAAACAAGTTGGAAAATGCTGTATGTATTATCGGATTGATTAAACCAAGAGTGCTTATTAGGAGCGCCGAATATCCTTAGAGCTCTGTAAATGGTAGTTTGGACTAATTACAATGGTTGTACATCACATGTTCTCTATATTTTTAATTATCTTCAGGAACTATACATTACAGAGACAAGACTAAGGCTTCATAACAAACAAGTTAATATTTGCCAACAGTATTTTATGCTGTTTCATTTTATTTTCGCATGATTGACATACAAGTCTGCTGAGATTTCAAGTCTGCTGTATAGTTTTGATTAATGATGATGTGCTGATGAAGGGAAAGTTAAATGACAATACGTGAAATATCTTAATCAACATGTCCCTGACTATCTTAAAGCACAGTCTCTTTAAGAAAGATAAAAAGACTTTTATTTCCTTTGACAGTTTGTTCTTGTCCATATCTTAAAGTTACTTACTAGTCATAACTCCTAATCCCCTTATGTCACATCCCCTAGCACTATTTAAACTGTACAGTGGTTGATCGTCATTTTTCTACTTTCCATAGCCCCCCACACAAACAGTTTTTTCTCCATCGAGCCTCCCACGACTTCATTATAGGAGACTTGCCTAGACTTTTGATAAGGGAATATCCTCCACATCTTGTGCACCTTCTAACTGCATCTGAAGGCCGAGCACCAAGATGAACTTGTCGTATGATGTCATGATTCTGCTGACTCTCTGTTAGCACATCAGACAAGAAAGGGAATTTGAGTTTCTTTCTGTTATACATAAACTCTGGCTCCTCTCCCAAGCTAAACATTTGAGAACTTGGTTGTGTAAATATACTGTATCCCGAATCATCCAGTCGGAAACTCTGATTCATGCTGGGAATAACAATTTTGCTGGGGAGGAGACAACACTCATCAAGGAGGGCATCATCACACTCAACGCCACCTCCTTCCTTGCAACACTGCCATGCCTTCGTGACGACTTTGAATAAGTGAGCAAGACAGTCTGTACTAGAAGTTGTAAAGACAGGCAGACATGATGGACTTATGATGCCCCAGACACGTACAATGACAAGGAGTTCCCGTAGTGTGTTGAGTAGACTGCGGTCGGTGAGAAGGGAGGACCCTGGAAAGCTTGAGTAGGACTGGTACATCGGGATAGTGGCAAGTAGGTGGAGAGTGAAGTCAGCCACCCACTGGATCAGAGGCTGTAAGGACTGGAGGGCACCTGTAACACAACACGGCAAACACTAGAAACACAGGCACATACAAATGTGACGAGTAATTAAAAGTCTTAACCAAACTCTTTAATGAATTAACATTTTAACGAAATTTCAAGTACAGAAGCTGTAACAAGAAATTGAGCATAAAAGTAGGACAAGTTAATTCATTTGAAACAACTTGTTAGATAAAAGCCTTTCAACCAAGCAAGTTACAGGCCAAACACCATTATTGTAAGCTTTTCCTCAACACTAGATGCCATTTGAAGATACACATTTGACCGCTGTATACTTGAAGGTGGTCAAGGTAACTCATATGAACAAGCTACAGGCCACATATCATGTCTGTAGAAATTGTAGTCAAAATTTAGTACTTATCATACAATGTTCATCTCTTTTCTTTAAATACATAAAACAATACAGTACAAAAAAAATGGACAATATTATACATTACTTATGGTTTGACCATCCACACCTCCATCCTGTAGCCATGAATATGTCGGACTAACTGATGTTCTAAATACTGCTACATGTTAGGAGTATTTGATCCTTTTGTATTTTCATGGAAGAGTTTCATTATCTTTTTAAAAAGACAAGTTACAATACTTGGTGAAAGGTAAGTGTGCTAACCATTGTTCAACATGCCCTCAAGGTAAGTGTGCTAACCATTGTTCAACATGCCCTCAAGAATGGAGACAATTACTGACGCGCAGAATTCTGCTCGTTCTAGCATTGAAATTAATAATGTTTTAAACCTCCTTTCATAAATTTAACAAGAGCTGTCTGAGAACAGCATAGCTCTCCTATGTATGTTATTATAACACTGCAACTATCAATAGAAACACATGTATAGTAAAATGTTGATATAGTGCCTGTCATTTTATTTGCCACCTCACTTACCACCAGGATATTTCAAGGACTGTTAAATGTGTAGAAACATCTATGTGAAGGGATTGTTAAGAAATTAACAAAGTCCAATAAAGCTGTTTTTGGACGCTAAAATATGAAAATATGATTCAACACATTGCTTACACTCAATACAAATACTTCAACCTTATCATAGACAACAGCCTATTGATTGTGGTGGTCCAACACTACCCAACAAACTTGCACAAAAACTTGAACCTCAAATTTAACTAAGTCCAATTAAGCTGTTTTTGGGCCATAAAATATGAAAATATGGTCCAGCACATTGCTTACAATCGATATAAATGACTTAAACTCATAATAGACAACTATGTTTTGAGTGTGATGATCCAACACTGTCTGGAAAAAACTTGCACCAAAACATTAACCTCGGAAGGTGGGACGCCGACGCCGGGGTGACTACATTAGCCCCCCTATTCTTCGAATAGGCGAGCTAAAAATGGTTATAAAACATGAAAATCTGTAGGATTATATCCAGTCTTACTTTCTTCAGCTCCCTGTGATTTGTCTCTTTTCCTGGAATCGATGAGGAAATCCTCGATTTCTAGGTTAAGCAAGATATTCTCCAGATTGCCGTCTGTTGTTTTACATAGGGCCCCAAGTTTCTCAGCAGGTGTCTAGAGAGCAGAACAAAATCTTAATGACAGCGACAACATTTACCGGTATATGAAGAAAGTAATTATCTAGCTGCATTAAGTAGCCTGACAATCATCAGGATTATTCCAGCTTCATGAAATATTTGAATTCTCTTGTACTTTGCTAAATTACGTTGATTTAATGTTGACTGTTCAATCCACTTCTCTACAATATTAATTGTTGTAAAAGAACATCGCTATGTGAAGGAGACGCTATACAATGTACTGTTGATTATATTGTTAACAGATGAACATCGCTATGTGAAGGAGACGCTATACAATGTACTGGTGATTATATAGTTAACAGATGAACATCGCTATGTGAAAGAGACGCTATACAATGTACTGGTGATTATATTGTTAACAGATGAACATCGCTATGTGAAGGAGACGCTATACAATGCACTGGTGATTATATAGTTAACAGATGAACATCGCTATGTGAAGGAGACGCTATACAATGTACTGGTGATTATATAGTTAACAGATGAACATCGCTATGTGAAGGAGACACTATACAATGTACTGGTGATTATATAGTTAACAGATGAACACCGCTATGTGAAGGAGACGCTACACAATGTTCTGGTGATTACATAGTTAAAATATGAACATCGCTATGTGAAGGAGACACTATACAATGTACTGGTGATTATATAGTTGACAGATGAACACCGCTATGTGAAGGAGGCGCTATACAATGTACTGGTGATTATATAGTTGACAGATGAACACCGCTATGTGAAGGAGAACCTATACAATGTACTGGTGATTATATAGTCAACAGATGAACATCGCTATGTGAAGGAGAAGCTATACAATGTACTGGTGATTATATAGTCAACAGATGAACATCGCTATGTGAAGGAGAAGCTATACAATGTACTGGTGATTATATAGTTTACAGATGAACACCGCTATGTGAAGGAGAACCTATACAATGTACTGGTGATTATATAGTTGACAGATGAACACCGCTATGTGAAGGAGACACTATAAAATGTACTGGTGATTATATAGTTAACAGGTGAACATCACTATGTGAAGGAGACACTATACAATGTACCGGTGATTATATAGTTAACAGATGAACAACGCTATGTGAAGGAGACACTATAAAATGTACTGGTGATTATATAGTTAACAGGTGAACATCACTATGTGAAGGAGACACTGTACAATGTACTGGTGATTATATAGTTAATAGATGAACATCGCTATGTGAAGGAGACACTACACAATGTACTGGTGATTATATAGTTAATAGATGAACATCGCTATGTGAAGGAGACGCTCAACAATGTTCTGGTGATTACATAGTTAAAATATGAACATCGCTATGTGAAGGAGGCACTATACAATGTACTGGTGATTATATAGTTGACAGATGAACACCGCTATGTGAAGGAGTCACTATACAATGTACTGGTGATTATAGAGTTAACAGATGAACACCGCTATGTGAAGGAGGCGCTATACAATGTACTGGTGATTATATTGTTAACAGATGAACATCGCTATGTGAAGTAGACACTATACAATGTACTGGTGATTATACAGTTAACAGATGAACATCGCTATGTGAAGTAGACACTATACAATGTACTGGTGATTAGATAGTTAGCTATACAATGTACTGGTGATTATATAGTTTACAGATGAACACCGCTATGTGAAGGAGAACCTATACAATGTACTGGTGATTATATAGTTTACAGATGAACACCGCTATGTGAAGGAGTCACTATACAATGTACTGGTGATTATATAGTTGACAGATGAACACCGCTATGTGAAGGAGGCGCTATACAATGTACTGGTGATTATATTGTTAACAGATGAACATCGCTATGTGAAGTAGACACTATACAATGTACTGGTGATTAGATAGTTAGCTATACAATGTACTGGTGATTATATAGTTTACAGATGAACACCGCTATGTGAAGGAGACACTATAAAATGTACTGGTGATTATATAGTTAACAGATAAACACCGCTATGGGAAGGAGACACTATACAATGTACTGGTGACTATATGGTTAACAGATGAACACCGCTATGTGAAGGGGACGCTATACAATGTACTGGTGATTATATTGTTAACAGATGAACATCGCTATGTGAAGTAGACACTATGCAATGTACTGGTGATTATATAGTTAACAGGTGAACATCACTATGTGAAGGAGACACTATACAATGTACTGGTGATTAGATAGTTAACAGATGAACATCACTATGTGAAGGAGACACTGTACAATGTACTGGTGATTATATAGTTAACAGTTGAACATCACTATATGAAGGACCAATGGAGATGTACCTTCTCTTGTTGGTTAGCTGACTTTGGCCGTAATAGTCCCCTGAACAAGGCAGTGATGGACTGCAGGACCAATCGAGCATGATAGTCCATGGCCCTCTGGTGGCCATTGTTAGCACTACTGTATAGTGCCACCTTGAGGGCAACAAGGCGTATACTGACCACGTCTTGCATGGAGTAGGTTTGTTTAAAATAATTCTCAGTTAATTTCTGGCTGATTCCATCAATGGTGTCTGTAATGTAAGCACATTAAGGTGAATTAAAATCAGACGCAAATAGCAATTGACAGGTCACAAATCTTTCTACAAAGCAGAATTTTTGATGGGGGCATTCAATTGTGAAGTAAAGTCAATTTTTTATGATGCAAACAAAATAAAGACAAGTAACAACTGGGGGGTGGAGACCCAACGTCCCTGCAAGGAAGTCAGTTCCATAGTGGCAGTAGAGATCCTGGGGTGGACACCTTAATGGTATTCAACAGTGCTCATCAGGGAAAGCAGAGCAAATGAAAACAGAAATGATGAGCAACAACACCACTGAATCCGGTACAAAATGTAATGTTTGATTTACATCCTATGTGCTGACATTTTTCGGCCAAAGGGAGGCTGTCTTCAGAGCACATTTACATGATGTTTGCATCTATGGTACAATGACAATAAAGATCATGTGACTAGAACAATAAAGAATAACTGTGACGTCATCAAGTTGCTAAGAGTTACAGCCTGAAAGGGTGACAAGGTTTAGCCATTTTTGATTGGTGCATAATAGAAATAGTGCTAAATAATTTCAGTATGATACATTAAAAGATTATATAAAAGTATCATAGTAAATGTGAATGTATGAGATGTAGTATTACAGTATTCACAATGTAAGAGATGATTAAAGGAACAGAAACTATTAATAAGGGATAGTAGACATGAAATTAATTGTATCAAAAGTGCTCAAACAAGCAAAACTCTTAGGTTAATGTTCTGTTACTTAAGGAATGGAAAATGTAATAGACAGAATATTAAGCATTCTTAAATGCCCAACTTCACTTTTACTATTTCTGATTCACCCACACAATGTCAATCAAAAGTTTAACTGATTTCGTCATGACATTACCCAGGGGTGCAGTGAACTCATGGACATTGATGATTATTTTGAAATTTAGAAAAGGTCAATTTCTTTATCTTACAGAAGGGGATTAACTACTCAAGAGAAGGTCTTTATTTTAGTAATTATGAAAATGACAAGGGAGACAACTTGCATCAAATCATTCACTCTACCGTAACAAATTGATAATTATGTACCTACTTTGTTTGACTGCAAGCATGGCATCCCACCAATCCTGTCCTGTAACCATGGCATATTCTAGCAGGAGACACACATATGATGGATTCATTGCCATCAATCCATCACGCATATTGTACACGCGTAACACTGACACCTTCCCATCATGCAATGCAATCAGGCCACATCCACTCAATGTCTGAATCATGTTAGACGCATGAATTGTTAGTTTTTGTCTTTTTGTTGGACTGATGCTCTGATTGGCAGCACCGAGCGCATCAAAGTATGTATGAATGACCTGGTGTGTGTATCGGTGGATCAGTTTGATGGTGCTGTCCCTGTATGCCACAGCAATGTACGGGGAGAAACCAGTCTCCATGAAGGTTTTGCTCATGGGCAGTGTGGGTCCAGCGATGGCTGACAGATAGGATGCATGAGGGATTGTAGCCTTGTGCATCCACTTTGGAATCTTGTAGGCAGTGTCTGGCCCTGAACTCATCTGAAACAGTTTGTTCAGTGGGATATGTTGATCGATCAGCTGCCAGACCTCCAGGCAGCTGTAACCCTGACTACCACAACACAGAATCAGTGTGTCACTGCTCTCCGCATTGAGGAACTGTATATGGGACACCATCATCTTTTGACTGTCCTGGGCACCATAGTCCATCTGACTCTTCATGTAGAGACTGGAGCTGGCCTTGGCCAGAACCTTGACAGCACTCTGTGTAACCCGCACTGTCACCAAGAAGCATTGTATGGTGGAGGACAGCTGGCCGTCCGCCGTGGCCACCATTACTTCCCCTGTGCCTGTGTGGGCGATGGTCGCCAGGCTGAGGCGCAGGTGGCTGCCACCAAGACTAGCTTGTGCAGTCATGATAGTCTGATCCTGCTGATTTATCACACCCACACTGATCTGGTGAAACAAAAGACAAGTATCAATCTATAACAGGCACAGCATGAAGAGACTACATAAAAAGTAGTATTGTAAACATATACTGAAATGAAAGTATTCCTGTTATTTTCTTATAATATGGTATGTAGCAGGATTACATTGGAAATAACTTCACAAAATTTGATAAATGACAGAAATATAACTTTTCAAGAAACAAGAAGCCCAAGGTACTTGTGTCACTCACTTTTTATGTAATAGCGTAAAACAAATAAGATTGAAAAACAAATAACTTTTTTCCCTCAATCAAACATATTAATTCAAGTGTATTCCTAAACCACTTAAACTTAAAATGTCCCTCAATCACACATAACTTTACATAGAGTATATATATGTATCATCAACTCGCCTTTTGATCTGAAGACAAAAACAATTAAACAATTTTCGCACACAAAAACATACCAGTCCTGTTTCTGTAACAGCCAACCACCCATCTAATGGCTGACCTCCAAACTGTGTCAAGGTCGGTGTGAACTTTGAGCGCAGAAATTTTTCAGTGTAGGTTACTGCATCCCTTTTCTCAGGATTAAAATTGATCTGTTTAAAAGATTGTCAACTTGTTAAAAACAGAATATATCGTGAAATTAAGATTGCACTGATTTCAATATAACATTGCACACTTGTTGCTGAAATATTAAAAGTTGTGATTGTTTATTGGAACCAAAATTAATTTTGTGTTTGGGTATCCATAGAATCGTGGACTAGAGTTTTGTTATATTATCTTTACTTGTTTAACAGGTTATTAAATGACCTTAGCTGTTATACGTTAATAGGACGTTAAACAAAACTGAACCGAACCAAATTGAACCTGTACAGTAAATTCAATTTCATCAACTAAGTTAGTGGATAGATAATTTGGTTATTTGCAAAGAGTGTCAAATACAGAACCATTTTCTATCCATTTGCGTAATCAAAAACAGATGATGTGAATCTAATGACCATAAACAAGAATAAAAGCTACATTTTTGAAAAGTAAACCATACACTCTTCTAAGTTTCCAACTTTTAATTCACGTTTAAACATGTATAATATCTTCTGAATAAAAAGTTTTTTCTGTAGTGTGAGGAAGATATGAAGATCTTCTGTATCTAATCTTAATTTTTTATTATAATTTATTGCAAACTTGCTAATAAAAACTTTTTTTTTGTATATGCAATATGACACAATTGCTCTTACCCACATCAACCCTCGCAATATAACACCCAAAAACTTGTATTCGCCCTAGCGCACCTTGGTCCTTCACACCAAGTGAGTTAAAAAGGCTGAATCAAACATTAATCAAAGGTGCACAACTTCAGAACTGTAGTCAGAGTTGTAAGGACAAGTTGATTACCAGTTGATTCAAATTGATTTGTTTTGTTTTATGATAACTTTCTATCTACACAATGGCACTTTTTACCTGTACACCTGTATGGAACCATGCCATGGCCAAAATCTCTTCTCCTGGAATTGATGACTTCCCTAGTAACTTCCACTTGTTGATGAAAAAATCCTGCAAGTAGAATCTTCCAATACAAACAGCTGCCACATGGTTTATGATGGATTGTACAGACAAGCTTTGATAACTAAGCTACGTTTTTCCTAAATAAAATGACTTGTATGTGAAATATATTGAATAAAACAATAAATTCTCCAACACACTTGCAAGTGAATAGAACGACCAGTTTATAATGGAGACTAGATTATTGATACCGGGTGGTTGAGTGTCTCAGTGGATAACGTTCTCGCCGTTCACCGAGTCAGCAGGGGTTTGATTCCCCAATTGGTTGTGTAAAGGTATGGGGTCACCTGCCCAATCACAGGAGTTTTCTCCAGGTACTCTGGTTTTCTCCTACATGAAGACCACATGCATGCTAACATCTGGGCCAACAAGCGTGATTAACACAAGTTGAAATAACTTGTTTCATAATCGTTGTAATAGAATATAAATTTCTTGACACCTGACTGTATTTATGATTATGACCTATAGATAACTATGGCTTAGACACATGTTTGAGATATCATTGCTTACCTCCATTTGCCACACTTGACACTGCCCATCCATGTCTGTGATGAGGAGACGTGTGCCGGTCCTGTCCCAGGTCATACAAGTCACAGACACTGGACTTGTCATAACTGTGAAAAATTCCCATGGTTTGTCCAGATCAAATACAATTACTTCATAGATAACATTAAACTTCCTGAAATAAACAAGAAATGCACAAATTTAAAAAAAAAAACCAGAAAATTTCCATTTTTATCACAGGAATATGAATCAACATATCTCAAGACTTTATTTTTTTTCAAACCCCCAAGCGGTGCTGCCAGGGTTTGATCTGTAAACACTTTGTCCACTTCTGGTGCTTCCCCATGCGTGAAAGCCTTCTGAGAAATTATGGCCTCATATACGGTCTACAAAAATATGATGGTAAATCCTACGGTATTGGTATTTATTACGGTTTACTAGTGATATATCATGAATTCTCCATTTGATAAAAACATATCTTTAATGCAGTGAAGATAAACGAAACATTATATCGTCACAAGTAAAAACGTCTCTCTTAGTATTGTCCAATCTGAACGGTTCATTATATTCTCTGCGTAGAATTTTCAGTTTCAAGTTTAGATGACGTGACGGCAGAATAAGTGGTTGTGTTGTATACCTTTGCAGCATACATTATTGTTTTTACATAACTACACAAATAATATCATTTTATCTGGAAAAACGGCAAAACTGCAGGGAAAACCCATTCAAAATGGTGCTCTGTATTGTTGTTAACTGTGACGTCATTACAACTTGGCATAAAAAACTACGCTACACATTCTCGCGCTTTTCTGATGTAGCATGCATGTATAATTGCATTTCTATACAGTGGTGTGCAGGTAAGTCATTCAGTTTTTATTAGAAAGAACTGTATAAAATGGTACATTCAAATTCTTAGTAGGTTGCAGGGTCCTCCCCAGATTTGTTTAAGCCGATATTTTTCGTTTTCGACGAACGTTCAAGACGGACACGTTCAATAATACCTTATTTAATTAAGGTGGAGGGGGGTTGTTGTTAATATTATGTTTAAATAGGTACTTTTATTTACCAAACTTTTGATGAACTTTAAAGCCAAAGATTCTTTTTGTATGAATATTCTAAAAAATACAATTTATAGAAAGGTTTATTAGTTTGGTACATTGAATAATAGATATGAGATTTGTTTCTTATCTTTATATTTGTAACCCTTAGTTTTATCTCCATTTAATATAATGCAAAGAAGAAATATTTAAAAGCTGTTTTTGTTACATAGGGGGAAACACTTACATGAAAAAAATTATATCACAGTTCCTATTATGGTAAGAGAAAACGTTTAAATAAAATGTACAGTGTTTTTATTTCCTCTAAAACTGCATTAAATACTTCTGTCAGTTAAGTTGATCAGAGATTAAAACAGCATTTTTATTTGGGCCCTTCTTCCTTAATAACAATAAATCCGGACTAAACACAATCCAAGATGGAGGCCATCACTCACTGAATTTGTCGCATAGACGTGTCACTTTCCCTTTGATCTAGTCATGGTACAACCAACCTGTTTTAGTTATACCATATGGTATAATTGGGGCTCCACCTAATCTAATGAAATCGATGATTGCCTATTACCGTCAAATGAGGCTGTCAGCTTGAGGTACAAAACTGTGGGAAAATTTGAGAGGCCGGAAATAAATAATCAAAACTTCAACAATGTTTAACAATTTAATCAATAAAAAAAAATAAAAAAAAGTTTCAAATGCTTACAGTATGTACCTATCATAAATGTTAATTTAGTAGTAGAATTGACCGTTACTGTCGTTGATTGTATACACTGAACTGCAAAGTCAATAAAATATAAAATGTACATTTAGTAAAATTGAACAAATGATACTGTCGATTGTACACATTAAACTGCAAAGTCAATAATATTTCAATGTACACATTGAACTGCAAAGTCAATAAAATTTCAACCATTCATTTAGTAGTAAAATTGAAAGATACCTGGCAGTTAGCTCGTCCACATCCATTTTTTGAAGTTCATGTACATTTTGCCTATTAGTACCCACTCAGTTGATTTTTCGTGTCGTTGTTCTCCTTTTCTTTAACTAAGTTTTGAATAGTCTCCATTGATAACGACTCGGCAAATCTCTTATTAAGGCCAACATTTTTTTTGTTATCCGTGTCATCATCATCCGTTATGCCAGAAAGAAGATATTTTTCAAATGTCCCAAAATCATCTTGTATAAGGCCTTCTAGTGGGTCATCTATGTCCACATCGTCTTCGTAACGTTCCATCAGTTGTGATAAATGTATGTCGTCAAAATCATCGAATGGTTCTACTTCGGACAGATCTGGCGAAGATTTTTTTACATAATCTGACATCGTGACCTCTAAGCTCGAACTAATTGAATAGATTTGGGTTTTCACACACTTCAAATCATGTGACACTATATGCGACAAAAAAGTTATACCATAGGCTCTGGCGGATATGTCAAGTCATCACATTCGAGGGGCGGGGCTCGACCCTCGTACGCTTGAACCCCGCACCTCTCGTTGTAATTTAACTGACATATTCGCTTGAGTCTATAATATAACCATTACACACATGCTATTTCAGCGTTATCAAATGCAATCATAATGTGAGTAAATTAATTTATAATAGCTGTATCAAGTGTTTGTTTTGTTTATCCTACAGCAGTTACTTCAATTAATCACATATTGACCATGTTAAAAGGATCCTTAGGTAATTGCATTAGGCTCCAGTGAGGAGGCTTGCCGGACACCTGTGGGCTTGTCATCTGGTCCCCCTTCCCATTAATTACAGGCCCCCTGTGGCCATATTACGCCTATTTTGCAACTGACCAGTGGGGTCATTAATATTGCTGGACTTGGGTCAGCCTTGTGATTTAATCAGTGTCAATTTCTTGTGTAAAAAGACCCCATTCAGTACAAATAACAAGGTGATATGGTTCATAGTCTAAGGTGAGGGTCAATTAAACTGATACGGCAGGGAGGATTTCAAACTGAAGCTGATAAGGAGTGGTATCAGCTAAATGGCCTGTGGAGAACCCTGGGTTGAGATTGGAATTTATATCTACAGATCAGATAGAGATGCTTGTTGAATGTTCATAATTAGTGCAAACAACTTAAGACGTGATAATTCCCAAGTTTATCTCCAAACATGCAAGTAAACAAACATATCTGTGATAGTGACACCGGCAGTGCCACTGTACACAGATATGTACGAGTTCAATGTGGAATTATGGAACCTCCGGCAATTAGGCTAAGCGCATATGGGTAATAATCCTGCATTTGGTAACAGTTACCCATTTGATTAACAATTTTATTACTGAGATGGGGAATAAAGTTAAATAAAAACACAAAGTTCTTTTAAACACATGGAGCAAAAAATGGGCATCATTCTTTCAACATAATCCAATAAAAAATACAATGAGGTACAATTGTGCACAAAAATATGTTAATTCAGTTGTCTAAATGACAAATGGTATCACCTCCATTGCTTATTGTATTATGTTTCATGACTAAATACATGCGACTTGGACAAATAAAAAATTTTGTCGGAACTTCGTGAGCCAACACCATACACTCCACCAACGGTTTTACATCCAAGTTAATTTTTTGTGTTGTGTTCAAAATAAACATTGTACGGCAACTACGAGATACCGTATTTTTTGTGTTTATGACGTATCCGGACTTATTAACCCGCCTTTGTTTCACACTTACTTGCTACAAATTGTCTTCCGGTAAATTGCCGCCGTTGGTGGAGTGTATGGTGTTGACTCACGAAGTTCTGACACAAACAATGAAAGCTAAGTGGAGTTTACAGGGCTTTTATTGACACGTACAGGTGATGAGACAGGTAAATTTACAATTGAATCATGCTTTGCGAGACGAAGTTCACAATTTGGTAAATCGTGGAGCATGTCTATTGGACACTAATAGCTTGGTCTTTCATGCAAAACAGGTGTCGTTTCTCGATTATGCATGCTTCGAACGGCGTGTGTTAATTACTTTCAAGATACACCAACTGGGGTATAATAGCATACGTCAATTTAGCTCATATACCTCACTTGAGGTTATATACTCCTTTTGAGCTTTGTGCGAGACCTGATAATTTATAGGTGTATATAGTAATATAGGTCTTAATAGCTATACAGCTCAATCGGCAGAGTGTACTGGACCTGTTCAAGGCACACTTACCCTATGCAGCCCTTGAAGCCCTCATCACACTCTAAAACATACCCCAGTTTTTTTTTTATCTTTTATCTATACCTTGCACACAAAAAAACACCAACTAATCACTGTAAATAACCGCTTTTTCACGCCACTGCAATAGGACTCCCGAGGGCATTAACATCACAATTGAGGAAGCCCCCGTAATTTAAAGAAGAAGACTTACCCGGCTGCATCCTCCTTATCAGAACCTGATGTGCTTTGTTTACAAATGCACATAAGGTTCTGGCATGACAGGCAACAACAACACTTTCCTTCTGTCAACCAGTCGTTCTGCTTAATTTCACCTTCGACATCAATGCTATATAGCACCTCCATATTCACAAACGAAGCAAGAATCAAATCAAAATGTTAATGTCATTTTAAGAAGTTCGCGTTTTTCTCCATTGTAAAATAAATGTCCTGGTTTCCTATAAGCTTACTGCTCTAAGTATAAGAATGCTTACGTTTCAAACGTTCTAATGACATCGATCAAACCGTTTATATCAGTCTCGCGCATTCTCGCCCAATCTCACACTGACCCCTGACACTTGCATACATAATTAGCTATGGGATAAAAACCAGAGATGTTGCCTAGTTTTGGCTAAGTATCTTTCCCTCATATTATAGAAGGATGTCGAGGATGGAATTTATGTGGTATTTGTTTTCAGTTCTGACACTGGTAGCCAACTGCCATGGAATAGTGGTAAGTTCATCTATAGAGTTTGTTGATCATATTATTCTTTTACATTTCAGAAAATGAACAATTAAAAGATAACTTGTGCAGATATAGACTCTGTAACACGAAGGTTAATATAGTATATCAATTGCTTACTCAAAACAAAATCGTTGATAAAATAATAAATAATTATATAAAATAATAAATATAATATTTTAAAAATGAACTCAATTTTACTTACAACACATACAATATATACATCAGTCAGGAATAAATAAAATAAAATCAATGAAAATCATCAGTATTAATTATAGGCATTGTCAGACTGATTTTGTCTAGTATAAAATGTGTTTCTGTTTTACTCAGAAGAATCTCTATGGATTGCATCCGTAATATTTTGATGATAAATTCTGATTTCAACATTTTCTTATCCGAGAATGGAGCAGTTCGAATTTGTCAATTAATCATGCAGTAGAGTTGTTGATTACGCAACAGTAACGTCGTCACATTTAGAAAATTTAACGATACATTCTTTACTTAACGGGAGTGATATGTTTAGTACAATACAAAGCTTCCACAAGGCCCTCAACTGCAAACTATATATAACTGCCTTTCTACGCTCATGAGAAAAGGATAAAGTCAGTAATTTGGACTACTATTTTAATCGTATGTGATACATGTAGATTATATAACAGTAATACCTACACAATAACTCTAAATATTTAGTTAACGAGGATGACATATTTAGTACGAATCTTTAACGAGGCCTTCAACTACAAACAAAATCTCCTTCACTGATAAACATATTTAATAATACGAATATATAAATTGCACTTTCAATTAACAGATAATCGTCGATGTTTTTTTTCAAGTTAAAACAAAGCCTTTACCATGTAAAATATCATTAACAAATGACGATTTAGCACGAGTGAAAAAACATAAGCACAATCCTGTGATTGTTGTTGGTTTTTTATTGGAGTTCCGATTATGCCGCATTAACTGATAAACGCTGCTGATCTACAAACACGTTTTCAAATTGAGGACACACGTTGTTTTGTCTTTCAACCACCTATAAAGGCTGGAAATCGCTGTATACATTGTCCATCATACCTTAATATATACTGGAGGTCCTGTGGGATATTTTTTTCTTAAAAAAACCCCATCAATTTTGTCGAGGTAGAACACATTTATCAAAGAAACAGATCAAGAGGGTATTACTGGTTACTTGATGATTAACAGTTATACATCAAGAGTGGAGCGACTATTTTATTTATATCATTTACGAGTCCGTACTCAAGTGAAAACTATGAAAATATTCAACCAACGGTATTGTACCATGATATTATTTGTTTTCTAACGAATAATGGAGATGTTTCGATATTGTGTAGCACAAGTGCAAAATATGGGAGAAATATTACTGTTACTCACCGAGACGCCAATAATGTTTTTCTATTACATTATTATTTTTTTAAATATAAAGAGACTGACTTCCGTAAAAAGGAAAACAATCTCCCGCCAAAAATATTGGCACAAGGAATGCTGTATCGCGATTTCAAAATAAGAAAACGTCGGGGAGTGATGTGTCTTCAGAGAAAGCGAGCTCGCGTTTCAAAATGGATCTTTAGTATTTTAGATGGATTTGCGTCATGCAAATAGAATGTGCTTGCTACTCTCGTGTCGAGACAGTTAACCATGTAGCTATTGGAAACTGCGGAACATGACTGACATCCCAAAAATGGTCGACTATGTTGGCAACAAAAGCCAGAACAATTCTATTTTGGTTCCTTCTCGGAATATATGCATTACAATTTAATCTACAGTAATCGTTTTGGGAAGGCAATTCGGGGTTTCCATGTTTTGTAGTCGTGGGTAACCAAGGGAATATCCTGTATCCATTGTACATACGAACTGCTAAAGGTGACAACGGAGTGCGGCAACTGTTCGTCTTGAGCAGCAGTACACAAAACTAGTGTATCGATTTTAATTATGTATGTGTGTTGTATAACATTAATACGCCACGCCGTGGTTAATCGTTTGGCGGAAAGGTTGATGTTCCGGAAACTGCGGCGTGGCTCTACTATTATCGGATGCACATACTTAAAATGCCGTCGGATCTTTAATACTGAATATAATACGATCGTGTTAACACATAATTAGAGGAATATGCACTCGTCATGACCAGCATATTGCACCACGTTCTAATGATTTCTGTATGATTAAATTAAGATTTGGGTCAACATATTCCTGGCACTACACAGCAGATATTAAACAATCTTCTGTAAAAGTCCACCATTGTACCTAAAGCTTGTAAAATACACTCCCTTTGGAATGTACCTAGGAATGTCACCTTCCACATGATCATAGAGAATGCGGTCTATTGTATTTTGAATCAATATATATGATCAATTGAAAAACAGGTAAAATCAGAAGAAACCATGTATCTGGAGCCCTTTCCCAGCCATTTCGCTCTAATATATAGCTGTATGGAATATGCCCTTAATTAGCATAACATTTTCTTCAAAATTTGTGTTGATTTACGTAAAAAAACAACAGGGAAATTAATCTTTCGAAAAGTAAATGAACGTGAAATCAGTATTTATTTTAAAATATTTTTTTTCAACAAATTTCGCCAAAAGCACATTTACTCCGTAACACTACTGACTGACTGTACCAATTTATACCTGATGTTGTTATTTCGAAGAGAACGAATTCGAAGACTTGTACCTAAGATGCGTCTGAATTGGCACGAACTATCATCAACAACTCGGCACACTAGGCCGTGACGTCACCGCTGTAGATCCAGTACATCCTATACCCCACCCCCTAAAAACAAACCCTTAAAGAATAGTAATGAAAAAAAATAAGAGAGGTAAACAAATATACACCATAAATATACGATATATACAAAGAAACGAGTGAAAACGACCAAAACGCATACATAACCTTCTATTAATTCTACTCGTTTATTTACGCTTTATACGTTTTATCTACATTGTCCGTGACATTATGAAGTGTTTGTGTATATGGTCTTTATCTCATACTTCTGATTAAAACGAGGCTGATAAAGAGGTTAATAGAGACGAGGTCAGGGGTAAGATATTGGTGTAACTAGAACGAAAGGTGCCAACCAGACGAAGATAAGGCCCAAAGTTTACGTCATAGACGATCTATTACAAACTTGGGTAAACACCACTCTAAGAAGATAACAAATTGATAAAAACAAACATGTTAACCCCCTGCCCCTCCCAAGTCTATGTGTCGTGTGTAAATGTTGTACTTAATGAAAGGCGTAAAAACGACGTGGGGAGGGACGCGGGAGGGAGAGTACGTGTGTATGAGGTTGAGATATCGGTAGCTGTCCAATCACACTCATCCATCACTCTACATCCTACATCTACAGTTTGATAACAACAGGTGTTATTGACACAGGTGTGTGGAGCCGTCACAATGTACCTATGTTTTTGTATAAGTCAGCTGATTTGCTAACATTTTATATGATGAACCACAGAAATGGGTTTGGTTGGTCGGTTACGATTCTTTACCAACTGGCCATTAATTGCCGAGATACCAGTACAATCAACCCAGATCATTAACCCGGCATGCTATAAAACACGGCCTTGTCATGCAAGCTAGGTCTGAACTTGTCTCACTGGCCTGGTCCTAAATTTGGCATGGTCTTAATGAATCGGATACTTATTGTAATTTGATGTTTTTTATGTATCAGTTAATATGAAAATTGTATATCATAAAATTAAATGAGATATCAAACTTATGATATATCTTATATATCAATAAGATAACTTATCATATTTATGACATTTCTTATTTGTTGGTAGATATTAAGTTTATGAAATATATAATTATATAAATCTTATAAAATAAATAGGACATGAAACCTTATAATAGATATGATATCGCATTAAATTTTCTTTATAAGATATCCATATGGCGCATAAGATATTTTATAATTATACAAAATATCTTGACTGGTATATCTTTAAAAGTTTCCAAAGTTCCCAATTTCCTACAAATTTCTTACATCGGGTGGTTGGCTCAGCTAGGAGACTATCAGACACAGTCCCCGAGGTTGGCCGTAACTTTGTAGCTGGACTTTCTTCCGCACGATTACATGAAATACTAGTTTAAGAATACATTGTCTGTAGTAGCCAAAAGTTAAACATTATAACGGGTTTATAGGCCCATTCCCCTCACAGTTTTACCTTTAGTAACACCGAGGAGTTCTAAATGGCTAAAGCTAAAGTTTTAAAATATATATGATTCCTTTCTTTGTATTTCAAGGAATTGTTTAAGTTTTGACACATCAAGCTATCATAAAGAAAACTACATAAGAATTATAAGAATGCTATTAAGAAAGAAAACATCGCAAAATTGAAAAAAACAACAACTAAAAAGTAAAAAGACTGCTCTCGTCAAATCCTTACCCATGTAAGTCGGGGACTGAGAAAATAATACTTGTTGTTAACTGTTTTTACCCACTACATGTTGTAAGAGGCACATTTTATGGAAACACCATGCAGCATTGGGGATGTGCTTTTGGTGCCCTCTATTTCATGGAGGGTACAAAAAGGTACCAAAAATATCTGCTGCACCCGTTGCATCATATGGGATCTTTATATCGTCCCCTTTTCTAGGAACCATTTTCCCCTTGCGCGTAACATCGCAATACCTCACTTTCGGCCCCAATGTTGAACGTTCGGCCAAGTGAGGAAATCAATTGGTACTGTCCTCAGACTGGAACATACCAAATTCCTTAAAAAAGGGTTGTTGTTTTTACCGTTACCTGCTCGACGTTTAGCATTCACGGTAATCGTATCAACAAGTCAACCCGCTGTCAATATACTGTGACCAGGGGATACTAGGTCGGGTGCCTCCTGCTCATGTACATGTCGTTAAATGGTGGCGCGTACTTCTTTAGACAAAACCAAACCAAACTCGTCATATCCGGTTGATTATTGTGAGGCTGAAATATTTCTTCTTGGTTTAACAATCGTGAGTGCCACAAACAC